AATCCCCCCCCCCCCCCTCCCTAGTCTGTCCTTGATACATACTTCAAAGTGGACCTTAGCCCCGTTTTACTAAAAATCACATCAGCATGCAGCTCTGCATGCTGATTTAAAATCATCTTACATTTATTAGTTAAAAACAAACTTGTTTTTCATTTACTTACAAATAGATTTATCTACTTCCTGGCCCAGTTCTGGCCCAAATGATTGTAATGTGCCCAAGCATTGCATCCTGGGAAGGTTACATCAGCAGAGCATTGCTGGGAAATCTCATCTGTAATCTCATCAGATCTCAGAGAAAGGCATTTTCCTCCCCTGAGATGATGTGCATGGTTCACGTGTCTAGTCAGATGTGCCAGTGCTTCAGGAAGTAAAGGAAGATCTAGTAGTAATCTGCCCTTAGTAAACATGGCCACTGTCAGAAGACTGGGGAAGAAAAGAGAAATAAGGAATGCAAAGAATACAAAGCCGGCAATTATCTTGAAGTATGTGTTTGTAGATTGTCATTAATAAACATTTCTAAAAGGTGAGTTTGCTGTTATATTAAAGATATGGGTAAAGGTCCACTTTAAGAACAGTTACACTTATTATCACGTTTGACACTGCCAGTCCCTACAGAGTTAGCCAGGGGGCCCAAAAGTGTTCTTATTGGGCTCCATGATTTGTAGTTACGGCCCTGGTTCCTGTGATGTCCTTTGTGTGTTCCAGAATCCCTTGCTGCATTATTTGCAATATCAGAACACCTGCAATGGCCACAGCGGGTATGCAAATGAAACAGCTGAAGCACAAAGATTAAAGTCCCCAAGAGATATTAGAAACTGCTAGGTGGTTTTAAACTAGCTACTGGAATTCTGTTGCAGTAAGTTTTATTCTATCAGAACATGACATTAAATCTGCACTGATGCATTCTTGTAAACCGTGCCTCTCAAGACCCATCATTTAATGCAAACAGCGACTGCGAGTTCCCTAACTTTCTGTCTAGATCTTTTACTATTAGTAACAATGAAAACTGACAACACAGTCAAATGCACAGCACTGACAGTCAGTACACTACTAAATTTAGAACTTGTCATATACTCCATATGTGGGCATGCATCCAATACCACAACATACATTACAGATGGTATACTAGGAAAATGTCTGATATGTTTTCTAAACCAATATACATAAATGGTAGGAATGCACCGATACTGGTATGGGTGCCGATACTGAGCATCTGGGCAAGTACTCGTACTCGCCCAAATGCTCCAATATGTACCCAGATACCGGAACTTCCGGGCACAGGGAGATTCCCTCTGACCGGCAGTGCCTCGAGGGAGCATGGAGCCAGCTTCCCGGCCAATCAGGAAGCCGGTTATGACCTGCCTCCCGGCTTCGTGGTAGGCTAGGAAGCCGGATTCACGATGCCTAGGGACACTGCAAGGCAGCCTGGCTTCTTGACCAATCAGGAAGCCGGGCGACACGTCATGACTCGCCTCCCGGCTTCCTGAGTGGCTAGGAAGCTGGCTTCGCGCTGCCTAGTGACCACTACGAGGCAGCCTGGCTTCCTGACCAATCAGGAAGCCAGGCTGCCTCACAGTGTCGCAAGGGAGCATGAAGCCAGTGTTCTTTTGATAGAACATTGGCTTCCTGATTAGCCGGGTCCACTGTACCTCGGGATGCTGGCATCGGTATTTGGTATCCGCGACTACCGAAGAAAAAATATAAGTACACATACCCAATACCGATTGATATGTTTAGGTGTAGCATTTAAACGCAAAGTCAGCCAAGAACATATAGATCAGTGAATAAAGCTGTGTGGATTAGTGCCTAGATTCACTGGTGTGATCTCTTGCCTGCCCCCAGAATTACATGTTAAGTCATATAAATAACAAAGAACACCAAAGTAACAATATAAATGATTTTATTCTGTATGAGAACCTTAATGCTTCTGTGATTAAACATAAAGCGAGCAGAAAGAATGCAGCTAAGGATGTTAACTTCTTTGGATATGCAAATTCAGCGGGATCTCTGTCATCAGTACCTAAATGGGGAGAGTCCCAGCACAAAGAGTTATTAGAGGAGTACTTATTAATTTAAGACAGACATAAAAATGAAATGACAACGTACATGTACAAGGTGATTTCTGTAAGTGGCATCATCTTCATGGTCTTCTTTGGGAGGACAGCCTGGCAAGTAGCGTTTACACACAGTAACAGCCTCTTCTAAGTCATAAATTACACAGGGGTCCAGAGGGTGAGCATTAATGCGGCTCACCAGGTACTCCTTATAATGAGATCTGGGAGAGACAACACACATGACTGCTTTACCATCTACTATTGTGTATCATTTCACGTTTACATATACAGGTGAAACTCGAATAATTAGAATATCGTGCAAAAGTAATTGCAGTAAGTGCTGCAAAAGGGGCCCAAACCAAGTACTGAGTACACATGCATGCTTGTACTTTTCAGAGGTCCGATATTGTTCTATGTACAATCCTTGTTTTATTGATTGCATGTAATAATCTACTTTTTTGAGGTTGTGGATTTGGGGTTCTTGGGGTTTTCATGAGCTGTAAGCCATAATCATCACAATTATGACAAATCACGGCTTGAATTATCTTGCTTTGCATGTAATGAGTCTATCTCATATATTAGTTTCACCTTTTAAGTTGCATTAGTGAAATAAATGAACTTTGCACGATATTCTAATTATTCAAATTTTACCTGTATAGGAGGATATTTTCTAAAAAATAACAAAGCTACAACATTTTGGCTAACTGGCAGCAAAGATTACAGTAATGCCTCATTTACATAGCAGCACACTGCACGGATCTGTATGGGCTGACTCTAAGCTGTGTGAATGAGGCCTAAATGTGTCCATAAAATCTGTAAGATGTAAAAGTAATTTCTGGAGCATTGCTATTACTCTTGTACAGTTTTTTTTTTTTTTAATATTACTTATAATGACACATTTGTAATACCGATCAAATCATCTCCTTGACAATCTGGTGTGGCACAAGATCCAATCAAGGTATTTTGAGGGTCAGATTCTCTTATGTAGAGAAGATGAAAGTAACATTTACATATACAAAAGTTTCCATATGTTCTATGGTTTTTCTTTTTATAAAAGCATTTCCTTTAGGGGAGAGGCATCCTTCTCTTAAATTATAGATTTAAAAAAAGAAAAGTATTCTCTCGCCAGGACCCAACAATAACGTTGGATGGTCTGAACAACATTTGCGTTTACTGCACAAGCGTCAAATGCATTGCCATTTTGAATTTTAGTGCTGGCAAACCAATTCCCCCGTTGCTCCCCTTGTGTCTCTGCTGCTGCCCCCGTGCCAATTCTTCTGCCAGAAGTAGAAAGCCGACATCAAGTCTCCCATTCAGCAGCTGGGGGCAATAGCCAGCCTGCTATTGGCTATTCAAACTGCAATAGCCAATAGAAGACTGGCTATTGCACCCGCCCACCCATGTGATAGCGAAGAAGTAAATTTAAAAAATGTAAAGTCCCCCAACCCCACGAACATGCGCATACTAACTGAAACACAAGTCGGGTACACCTATGTATGACAACGACGATTGCGCTACACATGTCAGATATCACCGTGTGCACCAGTGAGAACAATAATTCTAGGGACATTAAATTAGGTAAAAGTTGCAATGGAACACATCATAATGTAATTTTTATTATTCATAAAATAAACTACTAAATATAAATATATAATATTCAAATGTTCTATGAAATTCCTATCTGTCAGAAAAAAACTATGTATAATATGATAGGGTAGACTATAAAAGATAAAAGAAGTTTAATTGAGACATCTCTTCAAAAAGGGTTATATGGGAAAAAAGGACCAGCGACTAAAGTGGTTAAGAAGAAGTCCCCTGACTTACAGGGTAATATGCTAGACAGGAACGGCATAAAAGAAACTTAGTTTAATGAGAAAATACAGCACATCAATGTCCATTCAGGGATAACAGGAGTGATACTCACTCACACAAACCAGCATAGCCCACTGCTGTTTGCTTTCCACATGCCTCATCCTTCATTCCATCCAGGGCTTCCTTCTGTTCCATGACCCGACAACCGCCTAGAGAACATAACATCAAAGCAGTATTGTAGTGGGAGAAAAAGGAGCAATGATTTCCGAGCCAGGTCAATGGATCGCATTTAGTCTAAAAGATTTACTGGAAAGTCTACATTTATAGTATTCTGAAGTATACCTTCTGCTCCCAATTAAAAGTAAACCTACACTGGAAGAAATATGCAGCTACCGCTGTCAAAGCCTTTTGAAAAATTGTTAGTTGCCTGGCTGTTTCCATAACTTCAGAATTACTTATTAGGAACAAGCATAAGGCATGTGAAGACAGAACTCCTAACCTGCATGCTTGTTCCAGCTCAGTGACTCAAAATAATAAACCTGTTCTCATGACAGCCAAGCAGCTAGCATTTTTTATAAAGATAGGTCCCTATACTTTCACAACAGGTTCCTGTAATGGAGAATATTTCTTATTTGTTCCTCACCTCCAGGTACAGCTTGTGCTCCAGTGGGAGGATCCGTGTTAAACTGCACATTAGACATCTTAAAACAAGACAGAAATTTCACGCAGTCAGTCATGAATATTTATTCTTTATAGAAATGTACACTAGTTATTCTGAAAGAATGTATAAAGGAATAATCAAAAAAAGTGTAACTTTCCACTGCAGATTAATAGTTAAAGAAAAAAACAGCAAAAGCTGATTAATAGTTAAAGAAAAAACCCAGCAAAAAGCTGTAATGTTCAGCTAAAACCGGTGTGGTAATAGCAGGAAATCACCCTTTAATCAACAATAACCATATAAGACATATTTCCCTCTATGCACCCATCAGCATCACTCTGCCTTATATTATACATTACCTGCCTTAAGTACTGATCAGGTCTGTGTAAATCTGTGTTTTAGCAGCTTAAAATACCAGATTGGAAAAGGCATTAGAGAAGAATAATTATTGTTCTGGCATGTTTGGTAACGCAGGTGATCAGAGAAATCATGAATGGTTCCATTAGGATCACTCCCTCTTCCTGACTGTAACGACATGCCACTTTTAGTTAAGGCCTCATTCACGCAGGCGTGCACATCAATACGGCGTGTGTACCCATGCAGAGACCTGCTTGGGAGGGACAGGTGCAGCCTGTAATTGCGTGCAGCTGTCTGTACATCCCTATGACAGGACGCAGCTGCATGCTGACCCAACCTTGCACGTCCATCCAGGTCCGGATGCACACACTTGGATGCAGACAGTCTTAAGGTGGTGTATAGTTCAGCAGTGGCAGTACATTAGAACTGCTGGCCTCCGGTTCGTAAGCTAAACTGAACCTTCTCCAGGCAGTGGTGGTTATCTCAGATTAGTGTACAGTGTCAGCTTTATTTAAACAAATAAGGGCTCTTGCACACGGGCACCAGCCCTTGAACATTGTAAATGTCTGCGTACTCCCACTGGCAGAGAGCCCTAGGTGCTGCGTACAACCTCAAATTAAAGTCAATGGCTGTGTGCTATTGTTGGCTGACATAACAGTAACAGTATAACAATGTACAGAAGCTGGCACCCGTGGGCGAAAGCCATAAAGAGCACTATTTTTGAAAGTGAGCCCAGCTACAAACTATGCTTTTTTATAGCTGTTTAAGTTTGCACCCCTTAATTAGTAAAAACTTCATGTTGATATTGATAGAAAATTCAAACTGATACCAATACTGTAACTTAAAGGGAAACTCCTATTTAATGTTTATAAGATTTTAAAATATTGTTTTTTTATATCTGTCCTTTTACTATTTTACTTTTTTTTAACCTGCAGTATCCTCTTTGACCAAATACCAAGCAGGTTTGATTGGACAAAATTTGCCAGCCCCTCCAGCCTCCCTCCCATTTATATTGGCGAGCGTGGCAGCCCGTCATATTAATGGGCCAATAGAAATACACTATATTGCCAAAAGTATTGGGACACCCCTCCAAATCATTGGATTCAGATGTTCCAATCACCTCCATGGCCACAGGTGTAGAAGATCAAGCACCTAGGCATGCAGACGCTTCTACAACCATTTGTGACAGAATGGGTCGCTCTCAGGAGCTCAGTGATATTAAGCGTTACCGTGATAGGTTGTCACCTGTGCAATAAGTCCATGCGTGAAATTTCCTTGCTACTAAATATTCCACTGTCAACTGTTAGTGGTATTATAACAAAGTGGAAGCAACTGGGAACAACAGCAACTCAGCCACGAAGTGGTAGGCAACGTAAAATGACAGAGCGGGGTCAGCACATGCTGAAGTGCACAGTGCGCAGAAGTCGCCAACTGTCTGCAGAGTCAATAGCTACACACCTCCAAACTTTGTGTGGCCTTCAGATTGGCACAACAACAGTGTGTGGAGAGCTTCATGGAATGGGTTTGCATGGCCGAGCAGCTGCATCCAAGCCTTACATCACCAAGTGCAATGCAAAGCGTCAGATGCAGTAGTGTAAAGCACGCCACTGGACTCTAGAGAAGTGGAGACATATTCTCTGGAGTGACGAATCACGTTTCTCTGTCTGGCAATCCGATGGTCGTGTCTGGGTTTGGCAGTTGCCAGGAGAACGGTACTTGCCTGACTGCATTGTGCCAAGTGTAAAGTTTGGTGGAGGGGGGATTATGGTGTGGGGTTGTTTTTCAGGGGTTGGGCTTGGCCTCTTAGTTCCAGTGAAGGGAACTCTTAGTGCTGGTTCACACCTGGGCGTTTTACAGCGCTGTTCGAAGCGCTGTAAAACGCTCAAGCAGTGAAATCCCATTAATTCCAATGGGCATGGTTCCCACCTGTGCGTATTTCAGCGCGCAGAAACGCTCAAACAAGTACAAGAGCTTCTTTTGGGGCGTTTTTCCGCGTGTATCCATTGATTTTCCCGAGTGTGGCTCGGGGTCAACAAAGCGGTAACCCCGAGCCACACTCGGGAATACAGCGGAGGTCTTACCTTGCCTGCGAAAGGGGGCGGAACCGGCGGTAGGTTTGTAAGTTTTTTTTTAAAAACCCAGAAAAAAAGATAGAAAATAAAATAAAAAAATCATACCGCCAGGGAGGTATAAAAAAGGACCGTCGGACGCGCGTGTCACTGAACTAAAAAACGTCATAAAAACCGCGCCTATAGTACGCCCAGGTGTGAACCCAGCCTTAAGGCATCAGCATACCGAGACATTTTGGACAATTTCATGCTTCCAACTTTGTGGAAACAGTTTGGGGATGGCCCCTTCCTGTTCCAATATGACTGCGCACCAATGCACAAAGCAAGGTCCATAAATAATTGGATGAGCGAGTTTGGGGTGGAGGAACTTGACTGGTGTATGTGGGGATGGGGCTTTAGCAGCGAGCGCTGACACTTTGGATGTGTTGGAGCTTTGTCTGATAAGACTAGCCTGGCATCCAAAGCAGGGGATACTAAGAGCAAAGCTTTTTTTTGCTATTTGCAGCACCTCTGGGTACCTGCACATCATAACTAGTAGCAGATTACAATACTCTTTAAATTAGGAATAACACTGCTATAAATGAACATTAAAAAAAACAAAAAAACGAATGGCAAACTAATTTTAAATCGATGCTTGCAGCTGTGGTCATTTGTCAGTTTGATGAAGAATAAGGTAAGAATCAGAAAAGTAAATGTCTGCTCACTGTAAGAAGCCTCTGTAGACGAGACACCTCCCAGTCCCGCAGGTAGAATAAGCAGTCTCTTGGATGATGGGCATGAAGAGACATTCTCACTGTGCAGGACTGAACTGTGCATTTCTGTGGGGCAAAATAAAGCCATACGTTTTAAGCATTAAAAACAACATTAACTGAATCAGTATCTCCAAAAATCCTATTTCTTAAAGGCTCACGGGACAGAAAAAAAATAAATAGTGATGATTTTCTAACTGCCCAGTGTTCTTGTTTAACATCTAATCATCATCCCTTGTCACCAGGTCCTTAACTTCCACAGCAGCACATAACAAACCCCTAGATTGCTGATTGGACAATGAAGGAGAAGATGCACATTGATGAGTCATTGCTTTGCTGTATCCTCCTGTTCACTATCAGTACATATAGCAGAGCCCAACTGGCTCCTTCCCTCTTCCAGTCAAAGTTCTGCTGTGCAGAAGAATGCATGAGGCCGATTTTAAGACAAAAGTCGCAACTACTACAGTGTTATTAGAGCGTCTTCTGGGTCCAGGAACAGCCGCTGTGCTGAGCGAGCTTCCTCAGTGATATGAAAACACAGAGGGTCGGTCGCTCGCTCAGCAGTGTAGTCTAGTATTATTCTCGCTGAATGCCAGGCGTTCTCTGATTGGACAAGAGGCAGTGCCGGGACATCAGTGGCCGTTCCTGGACCCAGAAGATGCTATAATACACTGCAGTAGCTGCGGTTACTACAGAGTATTGCACAATCCCGGTGGCCCTGCCATGGATAATTTATATATACTTACATTGTGCCAAGCTGGACCAGCTTTTGCTGCCAGAGTCTTTTTTTGCACATTTTAGGCTTGAAGACAGTTATAGCAATGGGAGCCTGTTTACAGGTCGGTGGTGCCACAGACAGGGCCGCCGTCAGGGGGGTACCGCCGATACTCATGTAAGGGGCCCGGGAACCTAACATGAGTATCGGCCGACGGCCATACAGCTGCCTGGCGGGAGGTGGAGGCGGCCAGGCCCCCGCAGCACTGGAGGAAGCCGAGGGGCCCGCACACTTCATATCCTCACCTGAGGTGCTCTGTTCGGGCCTCTGGTGTCCCCAGGGGGTCTCCACTGCACATCAGGTTTTTAAAGATGGTCACCGTGAGTAGCGGCGGCCATCTTTAAACCTGGCAACTGCCCACATTACATTTATTATATTGCCGAACCGCATATTTAAACCTGGCAACTGCCCACATTACATTTAATATATAGCTTCCACTGCTCCAAGCTTGAGTGACGTGATTGTCTCAGTGTTCTCTGTACAGCACTGCAGTATATGTCAGAGCTATATAAATGTATAATCATAGTATGTGATTGAGGGGGGACATTAGAGTGTAAGCTCCTCTGTACAGAGACTGATGTGACTGTGGGGGAGGGGACATTAGAGTGTAAGCTCCTCTGTACAGAGACTGATGTGACTGGCTCAGTGTTCTCTGTACAGCATTGCGGTATATATATATATATGTATAATAATAACAACAGTGTAACTGGCTCAGCGTGGCGGCGGTGCGGGAAGGGGGGAGCCCCGCCTAAAGCCATGTAAGGGGCCCCAAAATTTCTGAAGGCTGCCCTGGCCACAGATGTAGTACTTCTGTCTGTGGCAGGAAAAGTGTTAAATGGGTCTAAGTGTAGAGAGAAATGTAGGCCACAGTACCACTCACTTGCCCGCAAACATATTACCATTGATAGGCAACTGCTGATGCACGTGCCCACACTGTCTACAACTGTTTTAAGTTGTGATTACCTCCCTTGAATTACAACTATTGTCCATTACCTCTAGTAAGTACAATCTGTTGTGTGTATGTGAGAGAAGATACAGCTGCCTCAGGCAGTATCTGAAGAAAAGTGAACCTAATGGAGTCGAGACTAAAGCTGGCCATACACGATAATATTTTCTTTGTTCAACCTGCGGGCTGAATGAAGAAAATATTATAGATTCTTCATTATATTCTGCCAGCCGTTCAAAGTTTTTGCGACAGGCTCCTTCGATCGTCTGTTCATCAAGAACCGAACAAAATTGCCTCAGTATATGGTAACCTTTACTATCAAATTAACCCTTTCCTAATAACACTAATAAAGTTACAATACTAAATTATTAAATCCATTACTCACATTCTTGAGGTGAAAGGTATTGTAGCATCCACTGCAGAACTGATGCCGACACTGAGAACAAATAAAGTGCATACAACCACCTCGTGCAAGGGCATAGGAAAACTTGCAGTGTGGGCATGCTGGGAAATAAATCATAAACAACAGTTAGAGTTATAAAGATTCCAGCCACAGTAAGGATGGGAGACAATCATTTTATCATGTACTCACTGATCCCATTTTCCTGCAGGTATACAGCCAGACCTTGTGCCTGGTATTCAGCATCATTCTCTCTTTTCCAGTTCTGGAAATCTTCACAACTCAGAGCTCGGTGCTGCTCTTCCCACTATATAGAGGGAGGTAATACAGGACAAAAGGAGACAAAAGGGGTAAAAAAAAAAAAAAAGACAACAGTAGAGATAAAAAAAGATTTAATGAAGCAAAACAGAAAGACACATTTGAGATTAGGCATACTGTAGATGAAATGTTCTTTCACTTTAAATGTGTAGAATTACTTTATGGAAATGACTTTATGCACCATGGGTAGGCAACCTTGGTACTCCAGCTATTGTGGAACTGCAAGTTTCATGAGTCATTGCAAGACTGACAGCCAAAGGCATGCCTTCCAGAGGCAAAGGCATGCCTTCCAGAGGCAAAGGCATGCCTTCCAGAGGCCAAGGCATGCCTTCCAGAGGCCAAGGCATGATAGGATGGGTAGTTCCACCACATCTGGAGTGCCTACATCTGTAATACACGATATGAAGACTGTATGAAGACCTTTATCAGCACTATGGAGACAGTGAAGCTGCAATACAGGTTTTTTTTTTACACCTCATTTATGTAAAATCTAGTGTCAGAAGGTGGGTATTCCAGCAAAAGCTGCATATAAGAAAAGAAAAATGCACTATTGTTTTTTCATATCTGTCTGGATATCAACTTTTAACCACAGTGAAACTGGCTGGGGCCTGCAACAGTAATATGTGACATCTTTATTTTTGCTCATCCTCACATGCATTCGGAGCACTTACCAGTCTCTTGCAGTTCCGGCAGAAACTAGATCTACACTGAGGACATTTGACATCTAGTTGATCTCGTTCATAAATGAATCCAAATGAGCACTGAAACGGAAAACAGTCAATGTTTTAGTCACTTTGCTGGTTGAGCATACAGGGTTTGGAAAAGAAAAATGTTGGAGCACAAGTGGCATTCTATCATGGCTATATAAAAAAAGGTTGTATAGAAAAAGAATGTTATTATTAGATTTTCATTGGACATAGTTCTAGATATATTTTCTATGTTAAATGGATGCATGCAGAGTAATATGTAAGTACAATACACTGAGATATTTATTACACTTACATATTATTAAGGATGGAGACATTTTTATTTAAAGGAGAACTATGGGGTTAAGGCTTTTCCCCATAGTTCTCCTTAGGGTAACGAGAGGACACAAACTAGCGTCCTCCCGTCACCCTAGGCTCAGTATACCGCGAGCTGCAGCTCGCGGTATACTGAGACGCCGCAGCTGAAACGGATCCCGACAATTATGTCTGGATCCACCCAGCTGCGTGAGTGACATTGTGCTCTGCCTATCTAGAGGCAGAGCCAGCTGTACCCTCCCCCGTCCGTTCCGCCAGTCAGCGCTGGAGGATCGGAGCGGGGAGGGGGGAATCCAGCCCCTCCCCCTGTCACGGCAGAGAGCCGTGACAGGATCGAGAGCTGAGCGAACGCCAGTATGTGTTCGCTCACTTCCTCATCTACTGAGCCGACCTGTGACAGTTTCAATGTCACAGGTCGGCTAGAACTATGAGGATGAGTGAAAAGCACTCACCTCATAGTTCTCCTTTAAGCATTATCCAGGGTCAGCATCTACCTCCTGCACTTAAAGCAGAACTGCTGGCAATTTTCTTAACTGCAAAAAGTTATACTCGCCTTAACCGCAGAGCTGACTGGCTGCTACTCTGGTTCCTGAAGCCTGTCTCCCTCTTCTTCCAATACACTATGGGGGGAATTTATTAAAACTGAAGCAGACAAAATCTGGAGCAGATTTGCACTGCAACCAATCAGCTTTTGTCTCATTCTCAAATCTTACCTGAGCAAACTGAAGATAGATGCTGATTGGTTACCATGGGAAACTGCTCCAGATCATGTCTGCCCACCCCCCCATTGTATTGGACATGACTTATTTTTAATAAGAAAAGGATAAGATTTTCTGAAATATGACACAATAACTGTATATTGTGACATGTCAGTAATTTTTCTATGCAGAATTCTAAAGCTACTGAAAGGATAACTTTAATAAGGATGAAAAGAAAATGTACAGATACTGCATGATAGGTGTGTTTTTGCATGTATACCATTATCTTCACAGAACCTTGCCAACATGTTTTAATAAAAATGAATTTTTTAAAAACATGTAGCACTGCAAGGATCTCAGTATTTTTTTTAATGTATTGACATTTTCACCAGCATAGCACAAGTGTCAAAAGGCCCCAAGTGGCATCACGCAGACTTGTTTTGTTACGACTTTTCTGCCATTTGCCATTTCTGAATATGCTGTTCCATATTTTGGATGCAATCTGATGGGAACACTCAATTTTCATAATGTTACCACAATCCTCATACCTTAAAAAGGCATTATTTGGGTGAACCTGGCTGGATTCAGCATAACTAATACTGGATCACTAATGTTAACATGTAGAAGCCTGGAAACAATCAGTTTGCTCTATGATTTAATAATTTTTGTTAGCAAATACTCACGTGAGTGCACCAGAGAAACTTTGGATCTTTCATGAGCGTTCTCTCCGTCAGCTTTTTATGAAACAAGTTGTATGCGTCCACATCCAAAGTATCCCGTAACTAGGATAAACAACAGAAGACACCATTAAAGCAAGCTTACCGTCTGTCAAGGTTTTCAAGCAAACCACACTAGTTTCAGTCTTCCTGAACATACAATCATTTAGCAAAACTGAAGCAGACAAAATCTGGAGCAGTTGCCCAGGGTAACCAATCTGCTTCTCTCTTCAGTTTGTTCAGTTAATATTTGAAAATGAAAGAGAGAAGCTGATCTGTTGCCATGCACAGCTGCTCCAGATTATGTATGCTTCAGTTTTGATAAATTCCCCTCAATATGTATAGAAGCTTGTGTTTAACCCATTGATGAGCAGAGGTCATTGATGCCCAGGCTAAATTCTATCAGCATCAGCATGTGTTGGTGTTGTTTTTTGCATACCTCAAATATATACATATATACAGAGTGGAAAATAATTATTTGGTCCCCTGCAGATTTTGTAGGTTTGACCATTTATCCCTAATGCTAAAGAGCTCAATTTTGTGTTTTTTTTGATTGCAGCACTTTATCCAATCCTTCTTTGAATCATTTAGATGTTCATTGGCAAACTTCAGACGGGCCTGTACATGTTCCTTCTTGAGGAGGGTGACCTTGCGGGCACTGCAGGATCTCAGTCCATGGCGGTGTATTGTGTTACCAATGGTTTGTTTGGGAATGTGGTCCCAACTACCTTGAGATCATTCACAAGCGCCTCCCGTGTAGTTCTGGGCTGATCCCTCACTTTCTCATGATCATCCTTACCCCATGAGGCCAAATCTTGCATCGTGCTCCAGACCGAGGGTGATTGATGGTTATTTTGTATTCCTTCCATTTGTGAATAATCGCTCCAACAGTTGTTTCCTTCTCACCAAGCTTTTTGCTGATAGTCTTGTAGCCCATTCCAGCCTGGTGCTGGTCTACAATCTTGTCCCTAACGTCCTTTGACAGCTCTTTGGTCTTGCCCATGGTGGTGAGGTTTGAATGGAAGAAAAAGTCTGTGGACAGGTGTCTCTTGTATACATAACGAGTTGTCATTAGGAGCACCTTCTTAAAGTGACAGGACTAATCTGTGTACCACATAGCCAGTCTGTGGGAGGAGCCAGAATTTCCTTTAAGAGAGATAAACTAGCGTCCTCCCGTCACCCAAAGCTCAGTGTATCGCGAGCTACAGCTTGCAGTATACTGAGACCGCCGCAGCCGGGACGGATCCCGACATTACTGTTGAGATCACCCAGCTGCGTGGTTGACCGCTGGCTCTGCCTATCTAGAGACAGAGCCAGCTGTGCCAGTCCCCCGTCCGTTCTGCCAGTCAGCGCTGGAGGAACGGAGCGGCGAGGAATCCCTGCAGGGAGCCGTGAGTGACACTCACGGGTCTCTGCAGGGAGATGATCGAGCGACGGTATGTGTTCACTCACTTCCCGATCTATTGAGCCGACCTGTGACAGTTTCATTGACATACGTCGGCTCGAACTATGAGGTTGAGTAAAAATCACTCACCTCATCGTTCCCCTTTAATTAACCACTTGCTGACCGGAGTGTTTATAGCCTCTTCCTGGCCAGGCAATTTTTCAGTATTCAGCGCTGCGGTACTTTGACTGACATTTATTCCGTCATGCAACACTGTACTGAAATTAATTTTATATAATTTTTTAGGGACAGATAGAGCTTTTTTTTGGTGGTATTTAATCACCACTGGGGTTTTATTTTTTTACTATATTAAAGGAAAAATTATTGAAAATTTTTAATTTTTTTTCCCCCCCCATTATGTTAGGAAACAATGATTATTATCCATATTTTTGGTAAAATATAAAAGATGGGGTCACGTCGGGTAAATAGACACCAAACATGTCAAGCTTTAAAATTACGCTCACCCGCGAAAATCGCAAAAAACTACCATACCCAAAATTGACCATAGGCGACGCTTTAAAAGCTTTTACAGCTCATCGGTTTAGTGTCATCAGTGATTGATGGCCCTAAAATTATTGCTCTCATTCCGACGTTCGTGACGATATGTAACATGTGCGGCGTAATGGGCGCAATACTAGTTTTCACACGTATGCGCACCCGACGCCTAAAATTTTAATTCTTTTTTATGTGTAACTTTACATTTTTGGGGGGGGAAACTAATTTTTTTTTCCACTTAACTTTATTGCTATCACATAGGGGGCTAAGAAAACACACCCTATGTGATAGCAAAAGATGCGACAGGTCCTCTTTATGGAGACATCAGGGGTTTCCAAGACCCCTAATGTCACCTAGGACACCCCTTAAGAAGCTGATGAAGCAGAGACCTGTTTCATCAGCTTCTCTCCAGCATCTGAAGCTGGAGAGTGACACAAGAATGCGGAAGTGATGTAATATACATCTACATCAGTTCCGCATTCTGACAGCGGAGAGGGGACCGGAGGGAGCTCGTGTACCGATCTCCCTCTATTCCCCTCTCAGAGAGCCACTATGCTGGTCCCGGGCTCGCACTGGGCACAGTGGAGCCCGGGACCGGCGTGATAGTGGGACGGGGGGAGCCGGGGAGGGAGGGGACCTCATACAAGCGATCCGCCGGCTCTTTAGCCGGCGGATCGCTTGTATGTTAACAGGCATCGCTGCCTGTTTTTAAATATCGGGCATTTCCCGTGTGCGAGGGGGCGTGGCTGAGCAGACGTCTAAAGAAGCCCGCTCAGATCTAGAGAGCTCCTGGACGGCCGTTTCAACAAATCCTGAACATAAACAGCCAGAATGTCATTAGTAAGGCGAATAGCTTAAATATTACTAATGATAATTAAGTGATATGAAGCAATGAAAGTCGTATCTTGTCATATAACTGCAGTGAGCGATGCTGATCGGATTTTATGTACAGTGTCAGGTAATGTGCTTGTAAGTTCCTTGAAAACTGATGGCCTATTAGTACTTTTGTTAAGTATATCTTGTAGTTAGAGGATGAGACAATCAGCAAACTGCTCAGTGGCTCCACATGTGCTGATACAGCTGAACAGCTCTTTGCTTAGGCTCACCAAGATATCCAGTGTAGAGAAATAATGCAGGAGTTCCCCCTCATCACTAATTTCAGGTTCCTCACATGCTGGACACACCATGTCTCTGATGTGTTTCTCCTTTACTGCAACTGTAAAGTGCATCCGAAAGCAGTCAGGGCAGATACAACACTCACATGAGGTGAGAGAGCGCATCTACGAAATAAAGCACAAGGGGTAAAATCACATCCAAAAATGGTCACTATACTTTTTCCAGGAATGAAAGGATAATGATGTTTGCATCTGAACAACTAGAGCAGGCGTAGGCAAACTCCGGCCCTCCAGCTGTGGTGCAACTACAAATCGCATGAGGCATTGCAAAACTGACAGCTGAAGGCATGACTCCCAGAGGAAGATGCATGATAGGATTTGTAGTTTCACCACAGATGGAGGGTCGGCGTTTGCTTTTCCCTGAACTAGAGCATTAATAGTCGTTTTACGTGAAATCAGGCAATATCAAGTTATACATGGTACAATTAATCACTTTCAACTGCAACTGTGACTGAGTGGATGAAGGTAACCTATCACCAACAGTCGTGATTGCTTCGCATTTCAATAGAAACAGTTATTGATAAGTTGCGTTGATTTGTTTGGTCTTTTTTGAGCTGTAAAACTGGTTGAAAGTAGTTGCCTGAAAATTGCAGTGTGTATTACTAGCACAGCTGTAAATTTATATAAGGGGAATTTATAAAAACTGGGACAGATTCTGCAGCAGTTGCCCGTAGTAACCAATCAGCTTCTCTCTTCAGTTTGTCCAGTTAGGCTTTGAAAATGCCTAACTGGACAAAGGTTTGAAGGCAATTGCTCCAGTTTTGATCAACTACCCTTATTGTTGTTTTATGGGCAAATGTGCGTGGTTATATCTAGACTAAACAAAGAAATACAGCATGAAAATAAAACATTTAGTCATCAAAGGGCTCAAAGAAGAAATCATACTTGTTGCCCATAGCAACTAGCCACATTCTCTCTTTTCTTCTTTCATACTGCACTGGTTACAGATATGGTCAACTACCTGTTCTTCCCTTAGATAACTTGATAAACAAGGCCTGTTATCTCTCTAGACAATCGTGGTCCGGATGCTTCTGTTAATACAGGAAGTCTGCAATCCTTCCTGCTGCTATGCATCGTAGTATGCAATGTGAACAAGTAACACACTGCATTGTGCAGCAATTTATATGCAGCTGTCCACAGCATTGTCTATAGAGTGAAAATGGCTAGACAGTTATTGTAATATTCTCTGACTTTTGCTGCCACTACTAAGGATGAGACAGTCCACTAAGCTGCATGCCATGAAAAGGTGGAGAACTGACTGACCTTGTTGCGGGGAAGCTCCCATCCGCAGACCGCACACTCCTGAGTTAGCATCCTCTTGATGAAATCACGGTCCTGAGACTCTCTTACTGCCTCAACAACATCCTGCAGGCTAAAGCGACCTTCACTTTCCTGAAGCAGCGACAGAGCCAGCTCAGCACGGCCCCAGCTATGTAGAGAATGTTCTGCAAGCAATCTTCGTAGAAGTGCCTATGAGAATACAAAGGGTTACACAATACTCTTTATAGGGAAACATTATAAAATGTATAGTTAAGAGATTGCAGCCTATCAGTGAATGTGGTATAAAACCTTGGTAGCCTAAAACTACAGTAATGTTATTAGCTCCTACTCGGGTAAAGGCCACAAGTAAGTTATACAACAGACATACCTGCCTATCCTTTGAATCCAGCTGCAAAGGAACTTCATCGTCTTCCCATACACGTTGGAAAAAGGGCTCTAAGAGTGGTTTTTGTAATAAGCAAAGTGCTCTTCCAACATCCCCAGCAGTTTCAAAGAGGGCAGCAACCACTTTATCCCGGTCTTGGAAACCCAGGGTGCATAGTTCTTCTACCTGAAGGTAACAACAGCAACAACATAAAGACTTCAGTCCGCAATGCTGAACAATGCCCGAATGACACAAACCATACGTGACTTACAAGCATCCTATTTAAAGTAGATAAAAAGCCAAAATTTAATGAATGGCCCAATGGTACCCCTGTTAGTTATTTTTGCACACATGTTCCCATTAATAAAAATGGCCATAAAAGTACCTTTTTTTTCCCCATGAGTTTTGCTGCAGTCACCTGACCGCTAACCCCTGGTCTGGGTCCTTTCTTAATGAGTGGGATGGAGATTCCTCTAATGACTGACATCAATAAAGAAAGTGACAATGCCACCTCAGACTTCGCAGAAGACTAGGGGAAAAGTCTGAGGTGCTGAAAGTAATGAAGCAGCAAATGCACAGTATAGGAAAAGTTTAACGTGCAAAGACTAATGCAGCAAGGTATGTGCAGTATAGGAAACGTAAAAGGTGTTGAGACATGAAGTGGTGAATGTGAAGTGGTGCATGCACAGTATAGCAAATGTTCAAGGAACAGAGACTAATAAAGCAGTGCATGCACAGTATAGGAAGAGAGGTACAGAAACGAATGAAGCGGCACTTGCGCAGGTGAATAAAGGTTCTACATGCCCAGAGTCTACTGAAGTAGTGCAGCTGACAACTCTTGGGGGGATCAATCATTTGTTTGTAGAGTGGTTGGTCTAGCACCGGAAACACATATATGACTAGGGAATACCAGCATTTTAAGGTTCACCCCTTTGCTATAACTTAAATTGATAAAAAATAATCATACTTTTTAAAAAACTATTTTGTCTGGAGAGATACTTTAACATAAACAACTGTCATTTTGTTTGTAAAAAAACCCCTATTTTTTACCTTATTTGCTTCCCAAATGCTGCAGATCTCTTGCAGCCTCCCTCTGAAGTCACTTACTGTCATATATGCATGCAATGGTTGCATGCCATTTCTCATGGCGGGTTTGTGTGCTGATGCAGCCAAATGTGGGCTCTAATGGAAGCCAGAGTAACAGGGTGTATATATGAGAGCACAATTGGGTGCAAGTGACAGAGCTTTGTTACCCTATAACAAAGTGCCTGCACAAGGACCCTAATGGCAGGATCAATAAGTATTATTTTAATAACTGAAGATTTTAAAATATTAAAAATGACTTGTGATCAAATTAACATGTTAAATATTATACGAGATTGTGATTATAGCGATTGGGTTTATATCTATTTTAGGATTACAGACCAATGCCAAACAATCATACAGAAAATAACTAATTACTTCAACGATGAATACCAAAAAGAGTCCTCAAATTTCTGTGATAATTCCACAGCAAACAAGATAGCTTGCGGTGAAGAGAAAATTCATTTTCTAAACTGTATTACTTTAAAGGGGAGGGCTTGCAGACGATTGGAATGCTGAGCGGGCAGTGTGCGCTTGCGCACACCGGCCCGTGCGGCTTTCGTCTTGCGATCGCGCTACCAACGTATGATTTTCGGCGGGTTTTCTAGCGTACAGGTAAGACGAACGTCGTGCGACTGTACAGTAAATGCGGTCGCACGCTGCCCATACACCTGCCGATTATCGTACGATCGCGGGATCAACCGCGATTATCGTACAATAATCATCAGGTGTATGGGCACCTTAACTGTGTGTAGACAGCATAGCATCTTTATTCACTCTAGTTAATGTCTCAAGCTGATTATCTGTTTATAGACAACCAGCATTTTGATAGCAGACCACACTGCTAGAAAACATGGAAAGGGCAGAGAAGTCTGGGCACTGGTAATATCCACTGAATTAAAGGCGTAGATTACCTTTCTGATCATGTTTCACAGTACACATACTTAGGATGTAATATCAAATATTGTCAGATCACAAGCCACCTCGGTACAGATATTGACTGTACCTGCAGTCTGCAGGAGTCAGAACATTGCACCTGTGATCTACTGATCATGGTTGCAATACTTTACTGGCTCCTATGCACACAAGAAAAATAAAAGATGAATGCACATTTTTTTGAATTTATGAAGAAATGTGCATTTATTATTCAACAAAAGGTGGAATCTTTAAATGTTTGGGAACTACTATATGTTATACTTTGGAAACAAACAGAATTCACTGTAGGCTGATGGCCTTAAAACACACACACACACACACACACACTACTGCCAAAAGTATTGGGACGCCTGCCTTTACAAGCACATGAACTTTAATGGCATCCCATTCCTCCAGAAGCGCATTTGTGAGGTCAGGTACTGAATTTGGAGGAGATAGTGTATATATAACCAAAGACCAGCAGTGGCCAGCACCTATCTTTGAGAGCTGTTAACAGTTGTTAATTTTTTTCACAGCACTAATTAATGTAGTCTATCTCCTATATTTTACTGAGAAACACTTGCTCTTTTAGTCCAAAGGCCCGGAGTCGATCACCACTGGCATCGTCAGAACTTATTCAACATTAATAAATGAGAAATCAAAGAGCATTTATGTCTTAATCATACCTTACTCCTCCGCTGTATAATACATAAATTCACAGTGTCCTCCATGTCACCTCCACTAGCCACCCATGAGGTACGTGCCTCTTCTGCTGTAAAAGCCCCCAAGTCAGATGCTGCTTTCTGGGCAACTTCAATCACTCGTTCCAGTACATAGGGAAGTTCTGTCTGTAGCCACCATAGGGGCACCTCAGCTCCAGAGTATTGGACTGCACTGTACACCTCTTCAGGGGACACACCATGTGCTTCTCCTTCCTGTTAGTTGGAAGAAAAAAAATTATAGAAACATGTTTTTAATCAGTTATGGATATTAGATTGGAAATAAATGCCCCAAAAAACGTAATCTACATATATTGGGTGTGTGTAGTACTAGCAGCCCCTCTTCCTCCCCTGCAACTCTCTAGGAGTTTTACTGGCAATTCTTAAAAGTCATTTTAAAAGCTAGGACTTTTATTTCCACAGGAGAAGATCTTTATGATCCTGTGTAAATTGACACTAAATATCCTCAGTGTCCAAAAGAATTAAGCAATGTTATTATTGCTTTATTGTAACTCGTCTAGTTCATTCATAGCAGATCACAGGGGTGGCCCTCATTGTGCATATAATGGTCAGTCAAAGCAACCTTGCAAATTAAAGAAATAAAAATTATTTCCTATTTTGAGAAAAAACACATTCCTATTTAAGCCTTAGTACTCATTACCATTAAAGGAGAACAATGGGGTCAGGGCTTTTCCCCATAGTTCTCCTTAGTGTAACGGGAGGACACAAACTAGCGCCCCCCGTCAACCTAAGCTCAGTATACCGCGAGCTACAGCCGGAGCAGATCCCAACATCGATGTCGAGATCCGCCCAGCTGTGTGAGTGACTGCTGGCTCTGCCTATCTAGGTTTTTATTATATCACATTTATTATTTTTATTATATCACATAGGTTGACAGGCCCTTAAAGGGAGAACTATGGGGTTAGGGCTTTTCCCCATAGTTCTCCTAAGGGTAACGGGAGGACACAAACTAGCATCCCCCCTTCACCCAAAGCTCAGTATACCGCGGCGAACTACAGCTCGCGGTATACTGAGACGCCGCAGCGGGAACGGATCCCGACAATTATGTCACTGCGTGAGTGACAGCTGGTTCTGCCTATCTAGAGGCAGAGCCAGCTGTACCCTCCCCCGTCCTTTCCACCAGCAGCAATACCTTCTCCAGGGTAGATCTTTTGGTTAGCTTTTCCCACACTTTCCATTTTGTTAAGAAGCGCAAATGACTGCTGCATTTCTTTCTCTGTAAACAAAAGGCTAGTCTTTTGAGGAAGGGGCATAGTTTTGAAGTGGTCCCTAGTATCTGTGCCATCTTTAGGTGGTGATGCATAATTTTCTCTTGATGGCTTCCGAGCTAGTCGAGGCCGGTCACAAACTGCGCACAGCACAGCAGAAGAGGGGTTCTGTAGGGTACATGCCTGGCACTCCCACGTGTCCTTCTGCAACTACAGCTCGCGGTATACTGAGACGCCGCAGCGGGAACGGATCCCGACAATTATGTCTGGATCCACCCAGCTGCGTGAGTGACAGCTGGTTCTGCCTATCTAGAGGCAGAGCCAGCTGTACCCTCCCCCGTCCTTTCCACCAGTCAGCGCTGGAGGATCGGACAGGGGAGGGGGGAATCCAGTCCCTCCCCTGTCACGGCTCTCTGCCGGCACTGGATCGAGAAGTGAGCGAGCGCCGGTATGTGTTCGCTCACTTCCCGATCTACTGAGCCGACCTGTGACAGTTTCATTGTCAAAGGTAGGCTCATATTATGAGGCTGAGTGAAAATCACTCATCTCATAATTCTCCTTTAAGCACAGAAAGACTTCTCACAATACCCTATAAAAGGAATATTAACAACTGGGTGCCCAAATAACATATACATTATTTATTGGGCACTAAAACAAAATGCAGTCCTTTCTCTGTATTTCCATACAGCTTGTAAGTCTGACGGTGACATATTTAGTATACTTGTATGTGAAGTCAGTGACTGGTTGGTGCCTACTAACAGATCTGTAATACACAATTCATGTAAAATGTAAGGTGAAGAAGTGACAAATTTCCATTACCTTAATTAAGGCCACTAATTTGGCACCATCTTCTTTTAGCTGCTTCTGCCTCATCTCCTCCTGGTTTAGTAATTGCTTCTGTGTGTCCGATATCTTTTTCTCCTCAGCAGGACTTGCCCCTTCACTTGTGCGGTCACACATCTCACAAACACGTCCACTGTGTGTGTTGTAAAAGGTGCAGTGGGAGCACTCCCAGCCCTGAAGATCATAGAACAATGGTCACACAAAGGAGCCAAACATAATATCATGGCACAAACTGGGTGCAAGCACCACCATGTGTTACCTCTAATTTTCTCATTTTCACTCCATGCTCAGGGATTGCTTTTGAGGATTGAGCAACACTGGCCAAACTGCTTCTTAAAGGAAGGGCTGGGTCATTGATGGATTTCTCAGACGTGTAAGTTTTATCCAAGATATCCTTTTTTTGGAAAGCAGCAATACCTTCTCCAGGGTAGATCTTTTGGTTAGCTTTTCCCACACTTTCCATTTTGTTAAGAAGCGCAAATGACTGCTGCATTTCTTTCTCTGTAAACAAAAGGCTAGTCTTTTGAGGAAGGGGCATAGTTTTGAAGTGGTCCCTAGTATCTGTGCCATCTTTAGGTGGTGATGCATAATTTTCTCTTGATGGCTTCCGAGCTAGTCGAGGCCGGTCACAAACTGCGCACAGCACAGCAGAAGAGGGGTTCTGTAGGGTACATGCCTGGCACTCCCACATGTCCTTCTGCAAGGACGTTTCTTGTAACATGCTGGACATGTTGTTGTTACAGCCACGAGGACGTTCACACCTCATACACAGCACCGAACCACCTCTGTTTACAGTACTGCAAGCCAGGCATTGCCAAGGAGGGCGCGAGGAAAGGTGGGAAATAATTTCCTCTTCCTTAACCCTTGAAGGAAAATAGAACATTAAGTATGCTAGATGGTCTTTTGCCATCTTTCCAATAAGTAAAACAAAGAAGTGTCCAGTACCTGTGAGTAGTGGGAATACCACAAGGAGAGCGCTGATGATGTGACCGGTTGGGGTGACAGTGTACTCGTTGATCACACCCCGCACAGAGGGTTTCATTACATGAAGTGCATAATACAGCAACGTTCTTCACACCACAAAGGCAGCAACCAGCTGAAATGCCTTATGAGACAATAACACAGTTTACTAAATGACTGTTTAGTAAGTGAAAGAGATCTAAGAAACTACCATGCAAGCAACAGAACAGTAAGACAAGATCAACAATACCTATTTTTGGCAACTATTTTGCAGAACACTGATACTCTTTCTTGTTCATTAAGGGAAACAGAAAGTCATATAGTGTCAGGTTATTCTGCTGCATACAGGACAATTGGATCATGGCAAAAAAGAAAAAAAACAACTGTAGGTCAGGCAACTGATGTCATAATGACATCATATTCCTGCCAGAATTACAGTCACAACAAGTACAGAATTCTGTCACTAAAGCTCATGAAGCCTGCTCAATAATCACACTATTAAATATTATATCCCGATGACACATAGCTTAACGATGTGTGGACAACATATCTTCCATTCTTCCTCAGAGGTGTCTCCCGTTCTCCAATTTCTTCCCAGTTTATCGTGTCCGTCTCTGGACCAGGTGCTGTCATTCAAGTGGCTCATAAGGTGCCTTCTCCTATTCAAAGGGTCCTCTGGGTAGTTCTCCTGGTTTGGACTCTGTTGAATACTATACTGGTACTGCTGTATCTCTCCACTGATAAAGAATGGGAGTCATTTGCCTGTCCAAGATAGGCAGATCGTACGTTTTTTTAAATACTTTACAACCCTCGCAAGACAAAGGTCTTGCGAGGGTTGTAAAGTGTATGGGCACCTTAAGTCAACGGAAGTAGCTGGATGATTCCATGAGTCTCAATCTTCCCAGGAATCTGGTTCCTCCCTACTGGTGACCTCTGGTCAGGGAGGAGAGGAGTACACTTTTGGGTGCACCTCTGGCCCTGCACTGTAGGTGAAGGTTGTTGAAGAAGGGTCCAGTGTATTACGGGGCTGTTGGCAGGCAGAACACTTTAGTCTCCTGCTGTAAATATCCTCAGACTATAATAGAGAATGTATCTAAAATGTCAGGGGAAACTGAGGCATGCTGGGAGTAGGAGAGGGTTATGCTGGGCTGGCCTACAGTTTTTTGTTTGCCAGCATCCAATCCTCCTGCATCGCCCGACAGTATTTTATTTTCTGTGTCCCTTAACCTTCCTGGCGGTAATCCCGAGTGTGGCTCGGGGTTCATTTTCAGTACCAAAAGCGGTAACCCTGAGCCACACTCGGGATTACACTGTAGCGTCACCTACCTTGTCCCTACGAGCCCCGCTGCGTCCTCCAGCCGATGCCGGCATCCGTCTTCCGGGTTTCTTCCCTGCGAGCGCAGGCGTCGCAGGGGGGTGGAACCAGAGGGAAATTCAAAAGTGAAAAATAGAAAAGAAAAAAAACTGACATAATCAGACCGCCAGGGAGGTTAATGGACTCCAGAAAAAGAATTTTAAAGTGATTTTTTTTTATATAACAGAACAAGCACACCATGTTGGTGTGTGTTCTATCAATATATATATTCACTGTTCACACAGGGCTATCTGCTTCATGCACACAGCTGAGCAACAAATATGTTTTTTAAAATGAAAATATCTGAAAGAGCAGTCTGTGACTCATATCTACCAATCAAATGGCCACTTCCATATTTTCAACAACAATGAATAGAAATGTTAGCAGATGATTTATACAGGCAATGCTATCAGAATGCAGAAGTCAATAGAATCCGCAACCTTTTCCCAAACATAGATTGTTTCCCATGTACAGATATGTGAAATATACATATTATGATGTCTTTTGACTGGAATCTCTGTTTCATGTCCAGAAGGTAACAAAAGGAGCATTTGTAATAAAAGTTGAAAAGACGGAAATGATTTAAACTACAAATAAGCTACATGATTACCTGAAGGGTGAGGTTGAGATACAGGAATGGAATCTGCAACCAAGGATGGCTATTGGAACAGAAAATAACAGATGTTTGTCAAAGGACTTTAAAATAAATATGTCATGCAAAAGGAAAACAAACTGCTGTTAGGTATAAAGTGCAGGCTCCTAGATATGAAGCTACCTCCATGTTCTCACTGCTATGCTGAATATCGGGCAATTATGATGGACAAATCTCCGACACTTCCTGGTAGTATCAATGTTTGCCCACCCTCTCCAATGCAATATTATTATATTACTATTGGCCAGTGAGACAGCCAATCATAATGAATGTCTAATAGGATTGTGTTGGAGGCTAGAAGGAGATGACCATATTCCTAACTGTAAAGACTTGGAGGCTACTGCACTTCTAGGTGCCTGCACTTTATCTGACCCCAGTGTTTTTCCTTATGACAAAGTTGCTTTAAAATCGTATTAAACTCTCAATATTTTTTCAATAATGATTCCAGATTAAATAAATATACAGTATATTACCCAGCAAAGGATTTCTTTACATTTTTGCCAAAACACTAAGTCACCATGTTTCCAAACAGCTCCAACTCTCTCAGCTCGGCTTCCCTGAATTTCCTGTCCAGTACAAGATCACAAGGGACAGAGCAGTCTGCAGCAGATGTTCCTCTACTAGCTTGGAGAAGGGAAGAGTGAGGATCAGTAGGGGCGAGGTCAATTACTTGACCTGTTGTGCCTGTGTGTTTGTGGAGACATTCACACATCTTACTAGCACACACAAGGGTGGCTAGAAGGTGCAAGGAGCCACCCTAAAACAGGATATCAGGGCCAGGGCTCAGGAGACCAGCTGATTCTGCAGGAAACTAAAAACTTTTAAACAAGGAGCAGCATTCATTGTAAATCACTCAATCAGCATTTTAAAAAGCTTACAAATTTGGCTTTAATATGACTTTATAGATGAACTATGGGCAGAAATGTATTTGCATTACTATAAATGTCATGTTTTTTCCTTTCAGCAGTTCCCCCTTTGTTTTCAGATAGGCCTGGTTCACACCTGAACGTTTTGTAGCGCGTTCAATGCTCGACGAACGCTCTACAAAACGTTTAAAATCCCATTGTATTCAATGGGTCTGGTTCACACCTTGCCGTATTTCCGCCCGTCCGAACGCGATACAAAACAGCCTACGCCGAAAGAAGTACATGTACTTCTTTGGGGCGTTTTGGTCTCGCGTTTCCATTGGGATACAGCCAAGTAGCCCTCGGAAACGTTTGCGGCGCGTTTTTTACCGCGAATCGCGGTAAAAACGCACGACGCAAAACGCGCATATTCAATACGCCTAGGTGTGAACCCAGCCTTAAAGATGTTTCCCCCCCGCTTCTGAAAGCAGTCATAAGAAGGGTTCTGTCCTCTTATTTCCATTTTATAAGAACTGGTTGCTAGCTATTCCCCAGCATTCAGTTTTAACATCCCCAGTGTAGTAGTTTCAGTGAGTGATGTAATTACATTATTGCCTGCTGTAGTGGGAGGACCCAGGAGTCTCAGATTGCTGGTCTAAACCAACCAGTATCATTGCATCATTTGATAGGCAATAAGTGGATCAGCCACCGGCCCCCAGTCTTGCCCACTTTAACTCCCATTCATGACTACAATTCCCATTGCTTGATATCAATAGTAGTTCCTCCAATCGACACTGCACAGTGAGGGGAAGTGATGGCCCACTTTGCTCGATACATCATCTGGGTGCCCAGCTGTGGTTCTCTCAATAAAAGCCGTCATCAAACAGTTTAAATAGGTATTTTTCTCTTAAATGATGATGTTTTAATATAAAACGTTGGCAGCTTTCTTATGCACCTATGTTGTGGAACTTATAGAACAAATTTACTTGTATCCCAGAGCTCAGCTTTAAGGCAAAATACACAGAAGAATATTTTTTCTTCAATGATAAGCCTATGTACAGCATATTTTCATGGTCTATATCAGCGGTAGAGAATTCAAATTCAAGGAGGTCCGGTGAACAAAATTTTCTTCGTGCCAAGGTCCAAATTGCGGTTCGGATACAATGGTCAGTCCGTGTTTGCACTGCAGTCCGCCATTTAGGCTGCATTTACACCAGCAGCTGCACTGCAACACATAGCTGCCTGTGTGTTTTTCCAGACACAGTGCTGATGCATTGATCCCGGGGCATCACACTTTTGTTTTTGTTAGAACTTTATTGAAATGTCACAAGTGATTATATGGCCCAGAGTGCCCCCTTACGTTAGGTGTCCCCATCAAAGTGCCCCCTTACATTAGGTGTCCCCATCAGAGTGCCCCCTTAAATTAGTTGCCCCCATCAGATTGCCTCTTTACATTAGTTGCTGCCATCAGAGTGCCCTTTTACATTAGATGCCCCCATCAGATTGCCTCTTTACATTAGTTGCTGCCATCAGAGTGCCCTTTTACATTAGATGCCCGCATCAGAGTGCCTCCTTACGTTAGTTGCTGCCATCAGAGTGCCCTTTTACATTAAATGTTACAATGTAATGCGGCACAGTGATGGGGACACCCCCATATCATAATAATAATGTTATCCATCAGAGTGCCCCCTTACATTGCTTGTCCTCAGAGTGCTGCCTTACCCCCCTTGTTTCTTGTATTTAATGTAAGGGGGCACTCGGATGGCAGCAACTAATGTAAGGGGTCACTCGGATGGCGGCAGCTAATGTAAGGGGGCACTCGGATGGCGATAGCTAATGTAAGGGGGCACTCGGATGGCGGCAGCTAATGTAAGGGGGCACTCGGATGAGGACAACTAATAAGTAATTGTTCCCACCAGAGTGCTCCCTTACACTGGTTGTCCCTAGAGTGCCCCTTTAAAATACTGCTGTGACATTCATTTGTTATGGAGCCTAAGGAGCCAGGAGGCCATGCTGGGAGGGAATGAAAAGAGGTGCTGGGAGGCTGGAATGGGAGGAGCCAGGAGGCGGGGCAGATTTCAGGCTGCAGGGAAGGACTGAAGAATATCTGGTTAATGCTGCGTGGGGAAGATTGCTGTGGTCCTAGCAGCCAATGAGTGAGGAGGAATGGGGACATGCGCTGGGTTATGGCTTGACAGTGGATGCGAGGCCAGTGCATCTACTGTCAGCCAGCCATAGCCTATTCATCAATTGTGGTCTAGATAGAACCGCTAATTAGTCTATGTCCGGCCCGCTATTGAGAGACCCATGGCCTACACGGTCATGTCAACCTACCTGTGGCAGTTTTCCTCCCAATAGTTCTTGAGTTGCTTCATCCTGGTGTGGGTGAGATTTCTGTAGAGGAAACCCATAACAATACAGGTCAAGTTCTAAAACCAAAAGATGCTAGCACATTTTGGGAAAAATAAATGGCGATACCAATCTTTACATCTAACAATGCAACACTCACTGAGATCAGCAGATTAAGCTCCCGATGGAGGAGAAGGACATCAGCAGTTACTGCAGCAACATTCGCTGTGTCTGGCGCTGGCATGGAATCTGGAAAGCTGAGGCCATCTGGAAGAGACTGCGTGTATCCATATAATGTCAACACCTGACGTCCACCCTAGAAGATGTAAAACTGGGTTATTAACAATATAGGACAATTAAGAAAAAAAGAATAGATATGTAAACAAAGAGGTACCATAGACAAAGTTAGGGTCGACCTGTCTCTTTAAATATGACCAATAATAAAGTGTATGTACATATCTTCAGATAAGTAGTGCCTTAGATGCTCCAAATCCCAGAGTGCCCCAACAGATAAAATTCCCACACTCTACAACACTGGTTTAGCCCTGAGCTGACCCTGTCCCTTCCCTCGCCTCCTTAATGGCTCATTGCTGTGAATTACAGTAAACCTGTAATTTCTTTAAACATAGCAACTCTCTTCAGGGATTGAAAGAGAACAACTACAGGTGTCTGTACAAATGTACACCCTGGAGCTTTTGAGCCCAAGGCAATTACATATGCAAATCTTGGACTTTAGTAGGGAAAGTTGAACTCTAGCCACCCTCACCCATATTTCACTAGGGTGATAATTAGCCAGTCCATCCGAGCTGTCAGATAGTTCAGGCCCCAATATTGTCTTACAAAATAATTTTTGCAAGACGATACTGCCATAAAAATGCTAGTCTGCCCCCCAACAAACAATATATGTAATACTTTGTTATCTTAAAGTGACAGTAAAGTCAAAAAATCCCCCCAATGCTAGTATATGCACTTACCTTAAATTATGTCTCTTGATCCGATCATCATCTTCTTTTCTGTAGTTTTCATCAGTCCCTCCTGCGCTGGTGTTGGTCTCGGATCCAGCGCTGACTGCTGCGTCTTCTGTCTCCCATGGAGCCAGTGCGGGTGCATGTTGCTGGGCTGCCTGCATTGACTTACCTTGTGTCTCTCCTCATCTCCCGGCCGAAGATCTGTACTGGGCATGCGCCCGCCCCAAGATCCTTTGTGGCTACCCGAGAATCTTCAGATTTTCGGAAGGGAGTTGCGGCGGAGACACAGGTACGTTTAAACCCTTTTGAAAAGTTTTTTGTTTTTTTTAATGTTTTTGCATATATCTACTGCTTGCTAGCAGTGGATATATGCAAAAAACCCTGAGGGTTTAATACCTTTTGTCATTAATCAAAGGGTTATCGCCGAAATGTGGAAATATAAAAACGTCTCTAGTCCATAAGGTGTATAAAGGTACGAGAGCTAAAGTGGTTAACATATAATACATCACCTCAATGGCATCTACTGTTGTCTTGAATACAGGATTGTTAAACTTGACGCTTCTCCAGAACTTGGGTCTGTGTGGTGAAAGAAGGTTCTTCCCATACTTCTCTAGTATATTGAGAGCTGTGATTACAGACCGCAGAGGCAGCCCCTAGGTCCATTTAGAGAAAAGAAAAAAAAAAAACAATGGTTAGGAAGATACCTCAGCTTCATTGATGCAACTTACAGTAATTACTATTATACTATACTACTATAATTAATTACTATTATATAGGTAATTATACTATAGTAGTATAATCCTTGACCAGTTAAAAATAATGCAAGAAAGAGGGGAAGTCTTCCTGGGTACAAGCTTAGTAAATATCATAACAAACAGAAAGGGTTAACATCTACCTGTGCTTCTCCTGGAATAAGACTCTGTAGATCCAGCCTACGATATCTCTCTTTAAGAGGGACGTCTAACATCTTGTCAAGCAGGTCAGTAGTTACAGTCTCTGGCTGGTTAATTAAAGCAAGCTCCAAAACATCTCTGAGCTGCTCCTTTGCCATGGCTCTTTCAATGTGGCCAACATCAAGAGCTAAAAAATAGAAAAGCTATTTTATTTCCATAGAGAGTCAGTTTTAATTGAAGATTTGGTGTTACAAAACTAAACACATATCCCCATAAATCTGTTATATTATCATGTGGTGTTTCACGAGTAATGGAAACTGTATGGCCATGTTTACACCTGGGCATTATTGAGCAGTAGAAGAAAAACGCTCCCAACACAAGAAATCCCATAATTTTCAATGGCCCCTTGCAACACCTGAGCAGCAAAACGCCAAACATGGGAAAAAAGTGCATGCGCTTCTTTTGGCAGTTTGCAGCTCATTTTTTTACCATAACTTCAATGGAAATGCCAGCAAACGTGCGAAAGAAGCATTTTGCCTTCTTGTGTGTTTGTCCATCGACTGCAATGTCTTTTGAGCTGCCAGTCAAGACGCTCGTCTTCATGTGCGCGGGTTTTGCGTGCGCAAAAATGTGCAAAACACGCATTCTAGTGCAAAAAAACGAGCAGAAACCATGCGTACAAACGTGCAAAAACGGGGCCTTATGCTGTAATGCAATACTTTATACTGTATATCATTATGTACAGTGTTATTAGCAGTGCTGGAGCTTGCATGATGCAAATATACTTTTAGTTCCTGGTAGCATAGCTTTACTCATAATCTTTACGCTTGTATGCAATTGCTTGATAAACCATGAAATATCAAGTTCAGCTGAAAGCCTTCTTTGTTATTATGTTATTTACTACTCTGTAAATGTAAATTCCTAGCTATAAATGTAGATTATTACCTAGGTAAGACTGATTACCATACATGCAAACATCTCTTTTCCCTTTACAGAGACAGAGATTAAACTGACATAAATCCCATGAACAGAGCTACAAATATTTATTCACCAAATAAAGAGTAGAGCTGTTCCGATACTAGTGATACCGAGTATGCTCCCGCTGCCGCCTGGCATCAGGAAGCCAGGCGGCGAGTCAGCACACCGCTGCCTGGCTTCCTGATTGGCCGGGGAAGCCGGTTCCATGCTCCCTCATCACCAGGGAGAATGGAGCTGGCTTCCTGGCCAATCAGGAAGTGTGTGTGGGGAGGAGGGGGGGTAAGACTCGCCCTCCCCCCCGGCTTCCTGATTGGCCAGAAAGCCGGCTGTATGCTTCATCGCCTGGTGACGAGGGAGCATGGAGACGGCTTCCTGGCTATTTGGAAAGCGAGTCATTATACACCGCCTGGCTTTCTTAATGGGACTTACGTTATCAGTTCGGCTAATACCCAAAAAAAAATATCCGTATTCGCTACCGAAAAACCGGTATCGGTGCATCCCTAGTTCCAAGTTCCAATACTAGTATAAAAATATAAACATGTGGAAAAGACGGATAAACTGCCCAGAAAACAACCTGTATGCAGCTTGTATTCAACAGTCTATTAGCAATATACTATATATTGCATGGGTTAGGTCAGTTACTGGACTGAGGTCAACAAAGCCGACTAAATGCTGCAAATCTCTTAACTGTAGGCTGAAAATGGCATTTAGAATGTTGGTGTCAATCAGCCCAATCTAAGATTTCAAGCTGAACTCTGGGAATATGAAAAGACTACCTTTGTTCTGGGGCTCCCCCCAGACTGCAAGGGTTAAACGTCAGTTTTTGCTTAGGGTGCCAGGAACAAAAGGTGTTACAGATAGTAGAAATACTTAAACTCCATTTTTACATTAGCTTCCTGTAGTTCCCCAATACTTCTACTGTACCTTCCACTGTCCAATTAGGATAAACTCTGTGCCATCCTTCTGGCTATACAATATGGCAGGGGTATGTGAATCAGGCTGAACAGAATTACAAATATTCTAGAAGGCAATGCAGTTTATATGCATGTATTTACATTTTGCATTTAGCCGTTTGGGCATAATGCAGCTTAATGACAGGAATTTCCGATCAGAGACAGAAAATGTCTACATCCTTTAATTTTTGTCATCATCTACCACCTACAAATCCCTCACATGGTAGTACAAAGTTCCTGCTAGAATTGATTTTTCCCCCCCAGATTTTCCTATCCTGCTCCTTTGTAATAACCTTCTTGACTCTTATCCAGACTTTTTAAACTGTGTTGTCAGAGGTGCCCATGGACTGCCCTATTATATGCCAATATAAAACAATATAAGCATCAACAAAAGGTTATCCACGTTTGCCTTATTCAGCAACAAAACAAATTGTAGACTTTCTCTCTGTGACGTCACAATGCACTCTGTGCCTTACCACAATCCCTCCAATTTGTACCCTACTCCCCACCAGCCCTATCTATATTTCTTTATTCTTCTTCTTATCTGGATCCTAACTTTCCTAGCTTACTATTTTAATGTCCATTACGTGTACCTTGCTATCCACTATTTCTATCTATATATCTACCAATCTATCTCCTATACCGACATGTATGCCAATTATTCTGATGTCTGTACATCCATTTGGTAGGCTTGTACCACAATAAAATCTTTGAACTGGCCACACTGCAGCTGTGTGTACAGTTTCTTACACATAGGGGTGTATTTATAGAACATATTCAGAGCAATCAGCTCTGCAGAGATCTTAGACCCCATTCACACTGAGCTACATCAGCGCTGATTGAGCTGAGCGACTCAGAGACATTGAGCTACAGTGCATATTGTTGCGCTATGTAGCGCTACTTTTGGCATGGACTTCGTAGCTGCTACATTGGGCTATAACCAATCAAAAGCGGTCTTGATGTAACATAATTCCTCTTCCTGTTTCCTGCTTATGTTCCTTCTTATATTTCTGTGCAAAAGTGACACATCTAACAAATTCGTGCGACATTGAGCTACACCAGGGGTAGCCAAACTCCGGCCCTCCAGCTGTGGTGAAACTACAAATCCCATGATGCATCTCTCTCCGGGAGTCACGTCTGGGGCTGTGAGAATCTTGCAATGCCTCATGGGATTTGTAGTTCCACCACAGCTGGAAGGCCGGAGTTTGGCTACCCCTGAGGTACACCATTGATTGGGCCAAATCGCACGAAATCCGCCGAAAAATAGGTCATGTTCAAGCGACAAGCTTGAGCTACAGGCGACATTGAGCTGTGAGATGTGAACAGCTCCATTGAAATGCATTGGACAAGCTACATTGAGCTGATGTTTGGGCGATTTTTGAGCTGAAAGCGCGCTACAAAATCGCTCAGTGCGAATGGGGTCTAAGTGTTAGATCTGCACTGCATCATGGTCACTAGATGGAGACGAGGAGCATTTCCAGGTTTCTAAAGTGACACCTATTCAGCGCGTTTTAGGCACGTCTTTTTGAGCGTTTTTCTTCTGCTTATGTTAAGTCGCAAAGTTGAAGCAGCACATTATTGATCTCATCTCCCTGTCATTCTACTCCTATCAGCATGCACACTGCCCCACAACAAACCGGACTGGCTCCTTTTGCAGCTTTCCTTCCCCCTCTCTCGGTACCCTGCTGTACAGGGACTACAAGAGGCTAATACCAAATCAAATCCAGGGACTTACACTGCTTGCATTCAAAACTATACATTACATACGGCATTGATGATCACAGAGCTGCATTCATTTGTGTCTTTTATATCTGCCTGGAGTTCAGCTTTAATCTAAATAACTGTACCTTAGTAAGTTGGAATAGGCTTTGTACAAGGTAGTGTGGGGGAGAGAATATGAATATACAAAAAGTCTACACAGCCCTGTATAAATAAGATAAATCACTTTGCAATTTTTTCCACCTTTAAAGTAACACTAAACTCAGCAGTTAAATCTTAAAAATGCATCCAAGTACTGAACTATTAACAAAAATGTATCTTATTTGTGTATCACTCGGCTGTAGATCCTCAAATCATCTCTGAATTGGTGCTGACACTGTCCTTCCTTCTGGAGGGTGGCCACTTTTGTTCCCCATGGTCCCTATGTGTGTTGTAAAGTAGCCACAAGCTCACTCCTGTGATGGACTACAATCTCAATACTAGATAACAACTAATCGATTAAAACGATTATAATCGATAATGAGAATCGTTGTCAACGATTCTCATCATCGGTTAGTTGCTGCCGCTCTGCTTGTCCGTTCTCCTCCACGCTGGTGCTGGCAGCAGCGGTCTGTGTTCCATTCAATCCCTGCTGCTCTCACCGCCTGTATCGGTAGAGGCATTAGGGACACAGATCACTGCAGCCGGCACCAGCGGGAAGGAGAGACCGCTGTGACTGCATTTCCCCGCACCTGTGCTGCCGCCCCGGTCCTTCTCTGCCTCCTGTGCCTCCTCTGCCCTGCCCCCAGTCTCTTCTGCATCTACAGGCTGCCAGCCATACCCAGCCTGCTATTGGATATTTTAAAATGCAATAGCCAATACCAGGCTGGCTATTGCACCCACCCACTGCCTGCGGTCAATCAGCAGAGGAGGACCTAATGGAGAAATGCAAACAAATAAAAAAAAATAAAGTTAAATAAACTAAAATTAAAAATAGAAAAAAAAATATTTTTAGTGCGTTATTTTAAATAAAAGTTTGGTTATTCTATTATATTGGCTTAGAGTTTTACAATTCACATTATTTTAAATCCATTAAACTAAATGTCTAATATAATACATACAATTATTTAAAAAAAATACACAATACCTTTCACATATACATATCACTTTTATATGTTACCTATCTTATATACATAGTATTTTTATACATGATACCCTTCATATATACATAGCACTTTTATATACACTATACCCGTCCTATATACATAGTACTTTTATACATAATACCTTTCACATATACATAGCACTTTTATATGATAGCTATCTTATATACATAGTATTTTTATACATGATACCCTTCATATATACATAGCACTTTTATATACACTATACCCGTCCTATATACATAGTACTTTTATACATAATACCTTTCACATATACATAGCACTTTTATATGATAGCTATCTTATATACATAGTATTTTTATACATGATACCCTTCATATATACATAGCACTTTTATATACACTATACCCGTCCTATATACATAGTACTTTTTATATAACATACCTTCCCTATACACATAGGTTGATGAAAGACAGATATATTAGAGTATAGAAATAAATGGAATAACTCAGTGATTGGATAAAACGTAATTACTTGTAGTATTGAATTACATGTATTTCATCACACCAGGAAGAGGGACAATTGAGGGAACATGTTACAGCAGGATCCCCCATTGGGGACAGCTGGGAGCTAGGTGTTAGACTTCCCCATTGCCCGGCTCCTCTAAACGCTGGGACCTGTAGTCCTACAGAGTGTTGACATTAAAGCAGCACAGCCTTGTTTCACTTTCTATCAGCAGCTTCCCAGAGCTCTGTACACGTTTATTCTTCAACTCAGATCCCCAGACACCCCCTCACCTCCTTTCGGGGTGTATTATGACCCCCCACCAAGCTAAGGACGTACATACCTGCTCTCTTCTTTCTCTTCTCCTACTTCCTCTTCCTAAGAAGAGACAGCAGTCTGACCAATCACATGACACAGTGCGACACCTAGTGGCCGGAGGAATTATTACACCCATCAAATGACAGCTTGGATCATGGACAGCGTTTACTGCAGCCCTACTCAGCGGGGGTTCCTCCAGAGGTTGCTAGGGGTTCCTTGAGCGATTTCTGCCTTTCAGATAAGTGACCACTGACACCAATTATCTTTTTTTTAGCTATTTGTAAGGAGCATTCTTCCAAATGACCACTAGTGTAAGGAGCATTCTTCCCTTGGATGGAATATTATTAACGGTCACAATTAACGATTTAAACAAAATACTTTGTAAATAAATCCCGTTTCCTCGATAATATTGGTCTGTGCGCAAGCGCAGATGCTGAGGTCAGCAAATTCAACTACGTCGGTGTTCTCGACAGACCACCGGTATCTGCGCTTAGGCTGGGTTCACACCTAGGCGGATTGAATATGCACGTTTTTCGCGCGTTTTTTACAGCGATTCGCGGTAAAAAAAGCGCGAAAGACGCGCGTTTCCGAGGGATACTTGGCTGTGTCCCAATGGAACCGCCCGACCAAAATGCCCCAAAGAAGTACATGTACTTCTTTGGGCGTAGGGCGGTTTCCCGCACGTTCGTACTCGCGGAAAACCGCCCAGATGGGAACCATGCACATTGAAAATAATGGCATTTCCCTGTTTGAGCGTTTTTCCGCGAGTACGAAAGCGCGGAAAAACGCCTAGGTGTGAACCCAGCCTTAGTATCTGGGCATTATCACGAGTATAAGTACTCGTGAAAATTCCCAGTATTGGCAGTGGTAAGGTCCTACTTAAAAATATAATGCATTGCTGACACTTGTAGTCCCACATAGTTGGAGCTATTCTGCATTGCTGTATAATCATCATACATCAATGCAGAATACCACCAGCTATGCATAAAAGTGAGCACTATATCAGCAGCATCCCACACACAAACACACTTCCCCGCGCCCCCCCCTTCCCACTCCAGTGATCCTCCATATCTGCCCCTGTTGCGATCCTGCACGTCTTCCCCTGCTCCAATCCTCCACATCTGTGCATGATGGGATCCTCCACATTCGCCCCTGCACATATGCCCCTGCAGCGATCCTCCACATCTGCCCTGCTCAGACCCTCAGCATCTGCCCCTGCTGCGATCCTCCACATCTGCTCTACTGCCATCCTCCACATCTGCCCTACTGCGATCCGTCATATCTGCCCTGCTGCATTCCTCCGCATCTGCCCTGGCGCGATCCTACGCATCTGCTCCTGCTGCAATCCTCCACATCTGCCCTGCTGAGACCCTCCGCATCTACCCTGCTGAGATTCTCCACCTGAGACATCAGGCCGACACCCCAGAGCAGAGCGGCAGCACAGAGTATGTATAAAATTCATTTACTATTCTGCATTGCTGTATAATATATTGCTGGGATTTTTAGTCCTTGATAGACGGTGCCATTTTGCATTGCTGTAAAATGTATTGCTGGGATTTTTAGTTTTCTATAGCTGATGGTATTCTGCATTGCTGTGCAATGTATTGCTGGGATTTGCAGTCACCTATAGCTGATGCCATTCTACATTGCTGTATAATGCATTGCTAAGATTTGTAGTCCTCTATAGCTGGTGGTATTATTCTACATTGCTGTATAATGTATTGCTGGGTTTTGTAGTCCTTCTACAGCTTGGAGTCAGTGGCAGAACTACCAGGGTCACAGCAGTTGCAGCTGCGACTAGGCCTTGATGCTCCACCACTGTCCTAAAATCATTAGTATGTATTGTTTGACATGACACTATAAAAAAGGTATCTGTAATTGGTATCGGCGAGTACTTCAGGAAAAGCAAATGTACTCGGCCTGGAAACAATGGTGTCGGTTCATCCCTAACATAAAATTATAATAATAGTGTGGGGGAACATTAGCGTGTAAGCTCCTCTGGTGCAGAGAATATTGTGACAGGTTCAGTGTTTTCTGTACTGTACCATGGTTTATGTCAGAGATATAGAAATGTATAATAATAATAGTGTGTGACTGTGGTCTGCCATTGCAACCAACTAATTTGTTTAGCAGAGCATACAGCATGTGCCCTAGCAGATGATAATACAAAGCACACACTCAAATGGTGAAAATAGAAGCAAGCCCAGAAGCAGCTGGGGCTTTTATTTTTTACTATATAACAAAAACAGTACCGTAAATTTTGAAGGAAAAAAAATGGATTCCCTACGTTATGTTAAAAAACATTTATTCTTACCCATATTTTTGGTAAAATAGAAAAGACAGGGTCACGTTGGGTAATTAGACACCAAACATGTCAAGCCTTAAAATTACGCGCGTCCGCAAAATCGCAAAAAACAACCACACTGAAAATTGCCCATAGGTGACGCTCTAAATGCTTTTACTGCTCATCAGTTTATTGTTATCAGTGATTAATGGCCCTAAAATTATTGCTCTCACTCCGATGTTCGCAGCGATATGTAACATGTGCGGCACAATAGCGCAATCGTCGTTTTCGCACGTAGGTGCACCCGACGTGTGTGTATGTGGGGGGCGGGGGACTTTTAAAAAATGTGTGTTTTTTTAAAAAAAACGTATAATTCTTTTTCATGCTTTAAAAAAAGAATTATTACTCTTTTTTTTTTTTACTTAACTGTATTGCTATCACATAGGGGGATAAGAAGCACCCTATGTTATAGCCAGTTTACATGACAGGCCCTCTGTATGGAGACATCAGGGTTCTCCAAGACCCCTAATATCAAATAGGGACCCCCAGAGAAGCTGATGAAGCAGAGATCTGCTTCACCAACTTCTCCCCAGTTTCTGTAGCTGTGAATGACAGCTAAATGTGCAAGTCATGTCATATCACTTCCTGCATTCGGGGACAGGAGAGGAGATCAGAGGGAGATCATGTACCGAACTCCCTTTGATCTCCTGTGACAGAGCAGCCGTGCCCGCACCAGGCACAGCCGATCTCTGGACCAGCAACGGCAGTGACAGCGGCAGCTGTGGGGGGAGGGGGTAAACATGTACCGATCTCCCTTTGATCTCCTGTGACAGAGCAGCCGTGCCCGTCCCGGGCACAGCGGATCTCTGGACCAGCAACGGCAGTGACAGTGGCGGCTGCCGTCTAGAGACGCTCGATCGCTTGAATGTAAACCACCATTCAAGAAGCTCCCGGCCTGACGTTTAATTACAATGGCCGGCCGGGAAGCTACTCGTCCGGCTCCCGCGTCCTCTCGTCACAGAGTGGATTTTCAAGCCCTGACTATAAGGCACCATATTTGTGCCATAGGCTACTGAGATGTAAACTTGGTTCTGATCCTGCCCACCTTCCCTTAGCAAATGATGAATTGATATAAGTGGGCATCAGAGGTGTGTAGCTGTGCCTTGCTTTGTAATAATGAAAAGTACTCTTTCCTTTTTATTTAGTTATTTTTTATTGGCAGCGTACAAAGCAGTGGTGGAACTACCGCCGGTGCCGCTGCACCGGGGCCTGAGCCTACAGGGGGAGGCCAGTATCCATTCAAATACTACCCCGGGGCAGAGATGGGGGTGCCGTTGGGGCCCGGCCGCCAGTTACCATCGGATTGGTATGCGGCGGGCCCACCCATCTCTGTGCCGGGAGTGTCCGTTGATCACATTGGTGTCCGGGGGCCCGTCGGCCGCCGGATACTGTGGAGGGAGCTGAGAATTTTAAAAAAGCCTGCAGGCACTGCAGGGGGCAGCCTTGGGCCTCGACCGTGAGGACCCAGCAAACAGCCGCCTGAGTACACGGGCGCGCTGTCTCTGACACACTCTCAAACAGCCAGAGGAGGTGAAGGTAAGTTAATAAATAAAATCATTATTTTTTGTAGCCCAATTGATGGCATTGCTGTATAAAGTACAGCTGGTATTTGTGGGGCAAAAATAATCTTGCACCAGGGCTCTTTGTTCCCTAGGTCCGCACAGGTACAAAGTGTACACACCATTCAGGTCACCACACCAGAAAGTGTGTGCTGTGCTGCATTGACCTCCTGTGGCACCTCACTGTGAAAAAAATGCTGCATTGTTCCTGCACTGCACATCATACCAGCATTGTGATACGAATGGGGCACATAGTAAACAACTGTCTTTTGTGTGCCCTTGCGGTGGCTGATGTTGATCCAATTTCAGAAAAACATCACTCAGCGCAACTGGTGTGAACAAGCCCTTAGTAAAGACATGCATAGAGGATCTTCAGCCTTAAAGCAGAACTCCAGGCAGAATTTGTATTAACCTTTGCAGTGGGGCTACCCCTGTACTGCAAGGGTTAACTACTCCTTTTTGTCTAGATTTAAAAAAAAACAAGTTATACTTACCTGTTCCACAGAGCTGGCTTGCACTTAGACCGGTTCCTGGAGCCTCTCTCCCCCTCCGCTGCTGCACATTCTATACACAGTATATAGATGTAAGGACGCCCTAGGACAGTGGTGGCAAACCTTGGCACTCCAGCTGTTTTGGAACTACAAGTCCCGTGAGGCATTGCAAGGCTCTGACAGCCACAGAGATTACTCCCAGAGGCAGATGCATGTTGGGATTTGTAGTTTTGGCACAGCTGGAGTGCCAAGGTTCGCCACCACTGCCCTAGGAACACTCCAATACTGCAGCGTAGGAAGAGATAGGCTTCAGTGACCAGAGAAGCAGGCAGCCGGCTCCGGTTTGGGTGAGTGTACCAAAAAAAGAGCACTTAACGCCTGCAGTGTGGGATAGCCCCCCTGCAAGGGTTAAGAACATTGTTGCCCAGAGTTCTTCTTTACGCAAGTCTGGGTGTCTGTTGTTGCCTGTGTCTTTAAGAGGGATGGGGCTACGCCCAATGCATACCTGCTTTGAATCTATGCATTGTTATAGATATTTCACAGGTTAGGCACTGACGTAGCTTTTGCCACACTCTGCAGAAGGGCCTTGACAGGCCAGTGTATTTGCAAATGTATGTGGCAAACTAATCTGTTTTAAATCTGAATGTTAAAAAAGTCTACTTAAGGTTTTTTTTGCTGATTTGGTGGAATGTTAGGGATTTTTTGTAGTCATAAAGTGATCTGTGCTTTATCTTTATCCAGAATGTGCAATGTTAAAGGAAACATGTTGTGACACAAATTGTTCAATTCTGAGTCTGAAACTGAGGAAGCTTGCAAGTAAAAACTTCGGACTTTCCTTATCTGTGTACTTGTTCCAGGCCAATGACTCAGAAAGTACTGAAGCTGGTGGGCCAGGCAATTAGCATCTTCAGAATCAGGTCAGCAACAGCAGGTATAGTTACATAGCTGTTACGGTTGAATAAAGACGCGGGTCCATCGAGGTACTTTTACTTATCTCATGACAAGTTTATTTTCTTTAAACGTCAGAATGTTTAGTGAGAATCACCAATTTATATATTGTTCATACTAAGGTCTCATGCACACACACTGCAAGAGCAAAATTGTATATTGCGTATATACGCGTATATGCAATCCCAGAATGCATCATTCGTAACAGAAATTTTAATGAACTGTATGCGCGTACGTGTGTATACGCGTGCATATATGTGCGTAAAATACGCTGCCTGGACGCATGTCGGGTCCATTCTGTTTTTGCGCATCTTTACGCAGCGGAAATATACGGCTCCATACGCAGCTATGTGTATGAAGCCATTTATTTGCATATGGGACAATAGACGCGTACGCACATATATGCAGTGTATTGTAAGGCAGTGTGAATGAGGCATTACCGTGACTGGCCTCCTAACTGATTGCTCCTAGACTATGAAATGAACGTTATGCAGTGTATGAATAATATGTTTAGTGCTGGAAAGTCCCTTTGGTTAAGCACTCCCATACCCGCCTTCCTCTAAACTGCACAGTTCATTTAAAGAGAAACTGAAAGTAACTACTCAGCCCGAGAACAGTCAGGTCCTGAAGAGTGTAAGAAAGGGCCGAAGACAGGAAAAAAGCAAACAAAAAAGACCTTGGTAGTAAGAAGTGGGCATAGGACAGTCCAGGGAAGGGTACAGAGACAAGCAAGAGACCTTAGAAAACCTGCAGACATGTCTAAAGCGTGCACCCTGAAGATTAGTCCTGCCAACAAGGAAAAGGTAAGCGTGTGTTAATGCAGCTTTGAGTTCAGCTGTATCTGCGGGAAAGTGGGAGCTATAGATCATCTAAACAAAAAGATGTTTAGCACACGTATAGAAAATATGCAAAAAGGAATGTTTTATTTTACAACGTAAACCCTTTCATGCTCAGCACTTAGTTCAGGAACGAGCTGTGCATTTACTCATCAAAGGGAAATAAATAAAGCAGGCCTGTATCAGGCTGACTGTCTGTACAGTGATTGCTGGCTTTGGGGCTTTCCGTACCTGGCAATTCCCGTAGCAGCTGACCTGGAAAATAACATCATGAAAAGTGATCTGTATATCATTCGTATCTTGCATAGGTTTGCCGACTCATCCCTTAAGGCCTCATTCACACTGCCGCACGTATACGACCGTACGTGCGTATTGTACCATATGCAACATAGCCGTGTATGGAGCCGTATATTTGCGTAGCGTAAAAAAGCGCAAAAACAGAATGGAACCAAGATGTGTCCGGGGCAGCGTATTTATGCGTATTTTACGCGCATGTGCACGTTTACGCGTACATTTCATTAAAATTTCTATTAGGAATGATGCATTCTGGGAATGCAAATAGTGCACGTGCATACGCTCGTATATACGCGCATGTATGCACGTATTTACGCGCATATACGCAATATACAATTTTGCTCGCATTGTGTGTGAATGAGGCCTTAAAGTGACACTAAACTCAGGAGTTAAAGCTTAAAAATACATTCAAGTACCTTTAACTATTAACAAAAATGTAATCACTCGACTGTGGCTCCTCAAATAATCTCTGAATTGGTGCTGACACTGTCCTTCCTTCTGGAGGGTGCCTACTTATGTTCTTCATGGTCCCTGTGTGTGTTATAAAGTAGTCACCACTCCAAGCTCACCCCCGTAATGGACTACAATCTCCATACAAATTAGTAAACTAAACATGAGACTGCAGTCCATCACGGTAGTGAGCTTGGAGCGGTGGCTACTTTACAAAACACAGAGGTACCATGGGGAACAAAAGTAGCCACCCTCCAGAAGGAAGGACAGTGTCAGCACCAATTCAGAGATGATTTGAGGAGCCACAGTCGAGTGATTACATTTTTGTTAATAGTTAAGGTACTTGAATGTATTTTTAAGCTTTAACTCCTGAGTTTAGTGTCACACATGATTTGAGGATCTACAGCCGAGTGATACACAAATAAGATTTTTGTTATTAGTTCAGGTACTTGAATGCGTTTTTAAGATTTAACTCCTGAGTTTAGTGTTACTTTAAGTTGACCCCTGAACCTGTGGAAGGTCAGTAGAAGTGATGAGCTGGCAGATCTGCTATGCAATTTAAAATACTAGCGTGTGCATAGCAACTTTTATTTGCAATCTGAGATGTTGCTGTACGTGTAGTGCGATTTACAATATAGGATAAAGAGTTCAAGTAGAACTGACGCCAAAACGTTTTAGTTTTGGATAGAATAAACGTCATCTTTTTTTTTCACCTTCTGTGTTCCACTGGTGAGATTTCCATTCACTTCCTGTCCTATAGCCATAACAGGAACTGAGATGAAATCCCTCCAAGTCACCAGGGTCACCATAACTAGTGTCCCCATTGAAAGATTTCCCATATATTCCTGTTCTGATGACAACCTAAAATGTGGGATTTTCTTTCACGTTCAGTGATAACGGTCACCAGGACAAATAGAGAGGGTGAATCTACCTAACGGGGACACAGACAGCCATGAAAACCTGACGGGTGTCTTAATCCCTCTCTACTCTATCCACAACTAAAAATACATTTTTGGCTTCAGTAACACTTGAAATGAAGGAACTTGAGATGTGAGAACCCAAAACTATAATCAAAGCAGTAGTAACTACTATGAAGAAGTACTAATAATTCGGCGTCTAGAAAATCCTTGTCATCTTTACGCTTGTTTTTCTTTATATTACAGATCTTCAGCCTATTCAGTAAAGAATCCAGTGACCCAGAAAAACTGATCACAATAGAATCAATTTTATTTTTACTGATATGAATGTAAACTAAGATCTGCTTGGCTCATCTGGGTTACTGGCCTTTGTACTGCCTCGCTGAATACATGTGCTTTCTGTAGAACGCTTTATAAAGAAGTATTTCCGGGTTTAACGGACAAGTACTTCTTCCTTTTTTTTTTTTAACCCCGAAATATGCAGCAAAAACCAAAAAGATAAACTGAACCTTTGTTCCTTATTGAACCTTTTGATGATTCTTCAGATAATATTATAAGGGGCGAGCATTGTAGTGCTGAGGAAGATATATCTCTTATACCCTCTTGATTCAGGTGCTCGATCTTCTTTTATGCTATGCCACCAACACTTTGGGACGCTGTAGAAAAAAAAAGTAATATTATCTTTTCATCAAAATTATACCCCCTGGGTTCTGATCACCTTACTGGAAAATGGGTATTAAAAATGTTGTGAATCTGCTTAACCACTTCAGGACTGCAAACGGTGCAGCCCTGAGGTGGCTCTACCAAGATCACAGCTTCTGCAGCATCATGATCTATACATAATCCACTTCTTTGGGGTCCATAGGTGACATTTGGGGTCTAATAGACTCCTCATGTCTCCCTAAAGAGCACCTGTCACTTCCTCTATTCTTCTATTCTATCATATAGGGGGCTTGTTAAAAATTAAAGTGACGTATAAAATAAATAAATTCATTAACGAGCAGTTAACCCTTCCAGTGCACGGGTAGCCCCACTGCAGTGGTTAATAAAAGCTTTACCTGGAGTTCTTACTTAAACAGACTGAAAACTCAGTATAAACAGGTATTCCATGACAAATAACACTAAGGCCTGGTTCACACCTGAACGTTTTGTAGCGCGTTCAACGCTCGACGAACGCTCTACAAAACGCTCAAACATCTAAATCCCATTGTATTCAATGGGTCTGGTTCACACCTTGCCGTATTTCCGCCCGTCCGAACGCGATACAAAACGGCCTACGCCCAAAGAAGTACATGTACTTCTTTGTGGCGTTTTGGTCTCGCGTTTCCATTGGGATACAGCCAAGTAGCCCTTGGAAACGGGCGTTTGTCGCGCGTTGTTTTTTTTACCGCGAATTGCTGTAAAAACGCGCGACAAACGCGCATATTCAATACGCCTAGGTGTGAACCCAGCCTAAAGCAGACATTATAATCTGAATGTACAATTTCCTTGTGGATCTACCAACAACCATGTAATACAGTATATTTAGTTTGTATTCAGTCAGACAGGCTTTTGTAAGTGTAGGCCCTAGGGTTGCCACCTGTCCAGGATTCACCCGGACAGTTCGGGTTTTGAATGCTGTGTCCGGGTTTCATGGCAGCAGAAACCCGGACACAAGATGTCAGGCAGACAGAGGCAATCCAAAATTAAGATAGTGGCTACTGGCCACCCACTGGAAATAGTCTCAGCTGTGATATTTACATAGGAATGGGTGGCGCTATTTACATATGAACACGCCACGACTCATTCTCCCAAAAAAATGTTTGCGTGTCGATAGAGTGTTCGGGTTTCGTTTGAAGAAAAGGTGGCAACCCTAGTAGGCCCACGTACTATATAGTTGTGGTAGGTCTAAAGCTGATTGTACATTCATATTGTAACATTTTTGCCCATCTTAGACAGAAGTGAATAAAAATACAACTTTATATGGGCTATTTGAACATGATCCTGCTCGTGCACACAGTTCATCTTTGCAGAGTCATTGCTGTTATTTCCTAGTTTGTGCTTGCTTAGTTTCAGTTCTGCCCACGTTGCTGCAAGAGTGTCTCCTTTAACTCTGAGATATCATTAAGACATTCTTCACGCCCTAAGACTGCTCTTCTTTAAAGCATTTTGTACATTTTATGTAACTATTTGCAATGTACCATGGATATCTCTAACTACATTACTTTAGAATGTAAAGAGAGTTGAACTCTCACAAACCAATACTGTACCTAGTTTTGTAGAGCACTGTAAGTAATATAGGCTACAACAAGCAAAGTTTGATTTTTCATTCAACCCTGCGGGCTGAAAGAAAGAAATCACTTGATCCCTTTTTGGGTTGGTTGCGGGGTGGGGGGGCGCAAAAATTGAACTTTGCCTGTGTTGGCAAAAATCCTAGCACCGGCCCTGATAGCGGGCAGCCATGGCTCTCTGAATACCTGAACAGTGCTTGCATTTAATTGGTTGCAGCTGACTAATTTCTGCTCGGCTTCTATGATTTTTCTGGCTGATTCATATGGCCAGCAGAACGTACCAGTGCAGTAGCATGGAGTGTGCAAGAAAGGGTGACAATGCTGCAGCTGGACCAAGTCAGCGTTGTTATCTTAAGAAAGGAAGCGTCTATGGATACACTTTGCTTGCATAATTTAATAATGTGGAATGTAAAAAACAGATACATTACATAATTATGTGTAACAACATATTTGGTTTAAGGGTTTGTTTACACCAAGTGCAGAGCAGATGCAGAGCAGTTACAGAACGCATAAGAAATGCATCCACTGTAGCCCAATGGTATTTTGGGCTCTAGTTCACACCACAGCGGTTAGTTCTAGAACATGTGGAAAAACTGCAGCATGCCCTATTTTTGCTGCTCTGGAACACACCAGAATGCATGCAAACGTCCTGGAACGCACTGAAAGCCCATTTTAGCATAAAAAAGACCCGGAACTCAGCAAAATGTGGCAAAACACAATGCACTGCATATGCAGAAACTCGTACAGATCTGGTCCAGATTTGGTGTGAACAAGCCCAAAGTGTTTATACACTTCATTGTGTACCTGTCTAAGTGCTCCTATGTATCCTGGTGGTTATCATCACAGGAATAGTGGAAATGTTCCAATGAGGATGCTAGATTCTAAAGGCAAGTAAGACTACATTCACACGGGGCTTAAGGCTGCGGTTGGGGACTCCTGTGGCAAGTACCTACAGATACTTGCGGCACGAATCCCAGGTGTGTCCATACAGATTGCGTCAAGGGACAGTCATCTATCCTGATCCGCAGGTAATCGGTCCATGTAGATCTACATGCACACAGCCACAGGCAGATGTGGCTGCTATTAGCCTGTTATTCACTTGAAAGAGCACTATGGGCGCATCTGTATGGACCCACCTGGAATTCCCATCGAAAGAATCCACAGCCACAACCTTAAGCCCCATGTGAATGGGTCATTAGAGGGCATATCCTCCTTATTCCTGCTGTCTCTCGGGCACAGAAAGCAAAAAAGCACAAGATTTAAAGCGTTCTTTTTTTCCTTTTTATCCTAAACTAAAAAAAAAAGGTTGCAAAACTTTAAAAAACTCAAGCGTTAAAAAGCTTTTCAATAACAAATGACTTCCAAAAATGGTTCGACCACCTCCTTGTGATTTCAGAGATGCTACTCCACCTCTCCAATCTCCTCAGGGTCAATTGGCTGTAGGTTTAATAGACTTTTTGCACCATAGACAGTGGTGTCCCTAGCCTTTTTACAGCCTGAGATGCTCTGGCCGGAAAGGGCGGCATGTGACCCAAAGAGATGCCACCTGAGGCAACCACCTCGGGCTGCTTCATTAAAGGAACAGCCCTGACCACAGACATATATAAATCATGCCACTCTCATAGTTATACTACACAGTAAATGGATGGGCCACAATCTAAAATTTACCTTCAAGGGGTGTTGCTGGTGAACTCTGAGCGCCTAGTGTTATAAGAAAGGAGGAAGTGCAGAACTTGCACAAAGTGACCAATCCTGTTTCATCTTTCAAACAAGGAAACAATTAATTTGATGGTTACTATGGGCAACTCCTCCTCTCTTTATGGAGAATGTTCCCCCCCCCTGTAGATTTTTTAAATAGGCCCAAATGTTCGCCCTTTTTGCATAACATCCCTTTCCTTTCACAATTGTATTTGTATCTTTGTATATAGTTCTTACTTTTTTTGCTTCAACCAGAAACATTAGTATGTCATCATAAAAGAAAAGGAAGATGTGGATGCTTCCACAAATGAAAAACATAGGTTATGGAACACATGATCAATGAAATCATGATTTGAGGAAGACCCAACTAGCTGAGACAGACCAAGCTACCAAAAATGCTTTCCTCGTAATTATTCCGCAGGGGTAACAAACTATGGCACTTCAGCCATTGTGGAACTACAAATCCCATAAAGCGCTGCAAGACAGCCACAGGCATGACTTCCAGGGGCAGAGATATAATGGTATTTGTTATCTTTTACCACAACTGGAGGGTTGAAGTTTGACTTCCCCTGCAGAATTATAAAGTGCAGCATTCCTTCTTAATATGGATGGTATATCAAAACTTTCAACACGAGGGCACATAAAAAATGTTTTTATTATTCTTTATTCTAAGTAGTTAATCCTCTGGCTCTGGTGCTACTGGCTATGATTTTTAAATAAATAAAAACATTTCTAATTTCTCTTTTACAGGTGGATGGATTCTGTGCAAGTCTTTACAATCAGGTAACTTTTAGAATGATGTCAATACATTTTAATTTATTATATGAAGTGAGTAAGGTTGTTGAGCCTGCGGCGCGAGGACCACATGCTGTCCTTTGGTGCAGCCCTCCGAGGCCTGCAGACAGTAGTCTATGTTAAGTGTTTAGGCAGTGAAGGAAGAATATTCTTTAGACTGGCTTCTAGTAGGTAACAATTTGCTTTATTTCTTTTCCACTATTCTCCTTTTTCTGTGCTGTCTATCCCATTTTTTTCTTTATATATTTTATCCAATTCTGATCTTTTAGAATGGATCCTGCTAAGAGAATAATGGCAGGTCCCGTGACCTGTAGGGAGAGGGAGCCTTGACTGCAGGAATCATGCAGTGAGGATGTGGTCAGTAAAATGGACCCCTTCTGTATAAGGGGTAATAATCAATTATTAATTGGGGGATAGCTTACAAAGGCAGAGACAAGCAAAGTGTTATAAGTGGGAGGAAGTGAGCTTGCTGGCCTCTTGGGAGTCGACCAGCAAGCTGAACATCCCCGCCCACCCTCCCCTTTTTTCTTTTCTAACTTGTCACAGCTTTTTTGGCATGTTTCTGGACCTTGCCAGCTTGATCGGTTACCACGTTAACTTTTCTGAAATTCTTTGATGGTTGGACATCTGTCTAGAACTGATGGTGAAGACAGATTTTCTGCACTGTGTTTTAAAGTCATGATGTTTGGGTGCTCACGGTTTATCCGTGACTGGGACGATTTAATGTAAACAGAAAAGAGTTATGTTTTATATGATGATAATACGTCAATAAAGCTGTGGCCTTGCCCTTCCAACAAAGTTATTTTGTTCAGTATTCATTGGCGGTGGGAGGGCAAAGGTAACAAAAGTATTTTCAACGTAAAATAAGTGTTTAACTATGATTCTCAGCTGTCAAGAAATGTTGCACATGTCATTTTTAAGGGGACACAAGTGATGACACTTTAATTTGGTGGCTATAATAGCAGTCATGTTTCTGCAGTCTATGAATGTCTGTTGTAGCATGTCTCCAGTCTTAACTCCTATAGCATGCCCATAGTCTCTAATCATCTACTATTGCATGTCCGCAGTCTCTGGCAGCTTATTGTGGGATTACATTCACTGAACAATAAGGACTATATACACATACTGCAGTGACCTGTGTTGTACCGCAGTGGATCACCACAGCACAGGTGTGATGAGTGGTGGAAACATACTGGATGCCACCACAGGTAGCTGCATGGCAGCGCAGCGGACCTTGCTGCTGTTGGGGAACTGAATGGGAATGTACACGCCACATACAGTTAAGAAAAAAACAGTTACAGCTCCAGCAGTGTGCGATACAACGTTGTTGCAGACAAGCTAGTGTGAACGGACCCTGAATGCAGCCCATTGGTTATGTCAGGGACCGCATCTTAGGCATCCTATATTACGTAAGTTGACCAGCACTGCAATAGAGGATCAGGTCATATTTTTGTCCCATCTGTGTATTATGATATAACAAATGTACTGGGTGCTTATAAGCATGCAATGTAATTAGCCTGAAAAGTATTGTATATGGTTGACTTCACACGTGTGCATTGTGGTAACATGCTTTAAAACTTTTTTTGCACGTAAATGCAAGGTACTCTTTGCGTTGCATTACCATTTGCTTAAAATAGCGCTCCAAGCCTCCAACACACACACATACACTAACTGCAAATGCGTTTCTGAGTACTTTGCAGGCGTGGTGTTTAATGCAGTGAGGTGTGCTGCAAGCCCATTTCAGTGCACAAAAACGTGTGTTATGGGATACACAAGTGTGAAGGGGCCCTATATGTTGACGGGATTATTCCATACTGACAACCATATGCATTTCAACCTGCACAATAAAATGATGGTTAGAATCTGACTGGAATACATGACATGCAATGTGACATCATCGTATATGATGGCCTTGTAAGAACCCAGGACACATTTCTGGCACAAAACATAAGCTCCCTAAAAGAGGAAAAAGTTCTAAGGGCAACTCCAGTTAGAATATTAGGTACTTTGTGGGTACTACAGAAGTACCTGTATGGTAGGTTATCACTAGCTGCCCTCATAGCCTCAGGGACTTTTTTTATTGGAACGTATTGTGACAAAATTGCTGCATACACAGTAACTTTGCATATTTGTGTTGATAGGGTGCCATTTTAGCTTTTGCTTTCCTGTATAGGTAATAGATATAATCCTCCAGTTTGCCATCCAAAACATATTTTTTTTTTACATTCAATTTTTATTAATTTCCACACAAAAAAAGACAAAAACAAAACATTTACATCTACAATCACATATTTGCAGCTTCTTTGATTCCAGCATATAAATCCCGCACAAGGAGGGAAAAAAAAGAGGGAGGAAAAAGGGATAAGAAGAAGAAGAAAGTTTACTGCGCTGGTCCCCTGTGTCTTTCCTAACCCCAGACTATAAACTCCATATCTCCTTCACCCATGAGGGCCAGTACAGCAGGGCCTTATTTATAAACCTCTTCATCTATCTATCTATCTATCTCATCTGCCATTGACTGTACAAGAGCAAGATCAGAATCAAAGTGGGCTATGTATCGGGCCCGGCTTGGACGACGCCGGGGCCCAGGCATCATCCAGTATTGGTTCATCAGTTGGGACATACTCCTGCCAGTCTGGTAGCATTGGTACACGGACGGATAGAGTGTCACAAAATTGTCCCAAGTCTTCAGGAAATCTAAGAACTGCCGTTTTCCCGTTCTTTTTCGCTATCAAGCAGGAAGGGAGGCCCCATCTATAATTAATGTCCGCCTTCTTTAGGGCTTCCAGGAGCGGTCTCAATGCCCTGCGACGTCCCAGTGTCTCTCGGGCCAGATCTGGGTAGAAATATAGATGAACCCCTTCATATTCTGTCAGGGGGTATTCTCTTATTTTCCGCAGGATAGTCTCCTTTATCTATAAGGTAATGTAGCCTACATATAATGTTTTTCTGAGGCTAGGCTACGAGGGCGGAATACACGGTGTATCCGGTCAAACAGCAGAGGGGCCGTCTGTTCTCGACCCAATTTGGCTTTAAAAATACCTTTCAAGATGTCAGCCAAATTAGGGTCCCCCTTAGCTTCTGGCATTCCCCGGATACGAAGGTTATTCCTGCGGTCTCTATTCTCCTGATCCTCCAAACGGTAGGCAAAAGTTCTTTGAGTATAAGCTAAGGAGTGTACCTGCGACTGCAGGGCTGATATTACCTTAGCCTGAGAGTCCAGCCGCGTCTCTCCCTCCTCTACACGCTGCAACAAATGTGCTATCTCTCCCCTGAGTGATGTTATCTCCGTCTTGAGGGATTGCTCCAGCCGAGTAAGCATGGACGTCAGTTCCTCCTTGGTCGGAAGGGCTCTCATCAGCTCGTCCATTGGCGGAGATGCACACTGTTCCCTCTCCTCGCCCGTCTCCGATTGGGGGAGGGAAGTATCTGCGTCCCGGTCACGTGCGGCCGATCCCGCTGGGAGGTCCGATCGAGACAGGGAGCTCCGCGATTGTGTCCGGGAGTCCGCCGCGAGGTATTTTTTAATTGCGCCCGATTTCGCGGTCTTCGTAGCTCCAGTATTTCTCCCCATCATAGCCGGTATCTATGTGTCGCTGTGGTCAATGCATTAAGCAGTCAGGAAGCCTGTTGAGTAGGGAGAGGTTTGCCGTGTCCACGCTATTCGCGTGTAGTCGCCATTACGTCCAAGCCACGCCCCCTCTGGTGCCATTCACCTCCATTGCTGTCTATGGGCCAGGCATCCAAAACATATTTGGTCTTGTATTTGTAGAAATATCTTCTTTACAATTTGCCCACCCAACATAACCTTCATCTACCCAACTTCCCGAAGTATAGTAATAGGTTAAACATTGGCACTATCACACCGCTCTATGGCACAAACAATGAAGTTGCTGTTATCCTCTAGAATTTATGTTGGGACACTCATAATTTATTTTCTCTCTACAGGTCCAAAACTTCCTATCTGAATTTGTCCCAGAGAAGATTCTCTACCTGGATGGTCTTTTGAAGGTCTCTAAACCATATGTGTCGGTTATAAATAATGTACTGCCGAATTAAACTAGGTTCATTGTGGCTTTACAATAATTGTATGTGTGTGCAGTAAAAGGGAAACCACTGAGTTGAAGCAGTCTAAAAGTATTTTCATTCACAACATATAGCAATGAAAGTGCACATATTTCAGGTAACTTTAAAAGGCCTGTTCACCGAAGTTAATTCAGTTTGTGGTAGATGTTGGAGAATTTAGTTTCTTGACAGTTTTATTTCTCTTGGGACTGTGGTGACAAGATCTCTACCCTTGACTTCATGGGTCTACTTACCAGTCAATGCCATTATTATGAAGGGATCCCACGCGGCATGCTGGATTTTTGATTGATTTTATATTATGCATAAAGGCAAATGAAGTGGGAACACCTGAAAGTGGATAGGAACAGAGCCAGGAACTATTCATGGGAGATCCTGCCACCATAGACCTCAAGAAGTATAAGCAAGTCAAGAGGCATTTTATTCCACTAGATTCCACATATAAGAAATCTCAATTTTAGGTAAACTTAAGTTAGCAGTGGTGACTTCCGCATACGTTGCAGTCAAAGTGACTTGATTATTTTCTCCCCTCACAGAGTGACCTCTTCAATGTCAAGGATTTGACAACTCTTCATGCTGAGCTGAATATTCCCATTCCAGACCCTCCTTCTCCAGAGTCTGAGGTGAGAGACTTGAAAGAGGAACTATACGGGAAAGATTTAGGGGAATTACAAAACAGTGAAATCGTTAGGTCCATGCATTATTTTCAAACACACGATATAGTGCAATAACTATATTTACAGGTAAGTGCAAGATATTTACAGGGGTGTGTAAGTTTGAAGAACAAAATACACTTGGGTCAGGTGAATTGTGAACATTGCTTACATGCTAATGGCTGGATTTATTCTTCCTTTGAGATGAGGAAATGACGGCGTATATGATTACCTTTTATAAATACATAACTGCTCAAAATAGTAAGCTGATTAATTCAATTGCTTCAAAAAGGGGCTTAATGTGTTTCTACATTCACTAAATATAGATGCTGTTAAAGTGTATGTAAACCCTAAATGTATTTTTCGTTACGTTTGGCATCATGCCACACTATTTACAGTTTTCTTAACCACTTGCTGTCTGAAGCAATTTCTTACTATTTGCACACACACACATGATATTATCTGAATTTTTGGCTAGAAAACGGCTTCAGACCCCCAGTAAACAGAAAAGAGTTATGTTTTATATGATGAAAATTTATTTTGTCCAGTAGTCATTAAAGTTGGGAGTGCAACGGTAACAAATGTATTTTCAACGTAAAAGAAGTGTCTAACTATGATTCTCAGCAGTCAAGAAATGTTGCGCATGTCATTTTTAAGGGGACACAAGTGTTGACACTTTAATTTGGTGGCTGTAATAGCAGTCATGTTTCTGCAGTCTATGAATGTCTGTTGTAGCATGTCTCCAGTCTTAACTCCTATAGCATGCCCATAGTCTCTAATCATCTACTATTGCATGTCCGCAGTCTCTGGCAGCTTATTGTGGGATTACATTCACTGAACAATAAGGACTATATACACATACTGCAGTGACCTGTGTTGTACCGCAGTGGATCACCACAGCACAGGTGTGATGAGTGGTGGAAACATACTGGATGCCACCACAGGTAGCTGCATGGCAGCGCAGCGGACCTTGCTGCTGTTGGGGAACTGAATGGGAATGTACACGCCACATACAGTTAAGAAAAAAACAGTTACAGCTCCAGCAGTGTGCGATACAACGTTGTTGCAGACAAGCTAGTGTGAACGGACCCTGAATGCAGCCCATTGGTTATGTCAGGGACCGCATCTTAGGCATCCTATATTAGGTAAGTTGACCAGCACTGCAATAGAGGACCTTGCTGTCTGAAGCAATTTCTTACTATTTGCACACACACATGATATTATCTGAATTTTTGGCTAGAAAACGGCTTCAGACCCCCAAATAATTATATATTTTCTGAAAGCAGAGGTCTGTAGAATAAAAAAAAAAATGCTAGTTGCCATTTTTTTTCTTATGTAGCACGGTATTTGCGCAAACCAGTATTTGTAGGATAAAATACACTCCAATGCAATTTAGTGCTCAGAAACCAAATATAATACCCACTTTTTTGGTAAAATATAAAAGATGCTGTCACGTCAGCAAAATAGATACCAAACATGTCAAGCCTTAAAATTGCCTTTGCCCGTGAAGCTGCATAAAACTACAATATCCAAAAATTCACATAGGGGACACTTTAAAAGCTTTTACCACTCATCAGTTTAGTGCTAACAGCGATTAATGGCTCTGGAATCATTACTCTCACTCCGATGTTCACTGCGATATGTAACGTGTAGCACAATTTTAGTTTTTGCACGTAGGTGCACCGACGCATGTTTGCGCATGTATGTGCTGGCACGTGGGGGGCGGGGGACTTTAAAAAAAATTGCATTATTTTCTTTTTTTTATGTTACTTTAATCTTTTGATATTTTAAAAACTTTTTATTTATTTAAATTTTTTCTTACACTAACTTTATTCCTATCACTTGGGGGGCTAGCAACCCCCTATGTAATAGCAGATAGGGTGTGACAGGTACTCTTTATGGAGACTTAAGGGGTCTTTCAGACCCCTAATGTCACCTAGGGACCCCAAAGAAGCTGAGCAAGCAGAGATCTGCTTCCCCAGCTTCTTCTCCTGGCTATAGGAGCCGGAAACTGTACACAGTGACACCGGAAGCGATGTAGTACACATCACTTCCGGGTTCAGTGATCAAAGGATCATGCTGGGAGACCCATCATGCCGGTCCTGGGCCTGCACGGGGAACAGTGGAGCCTGGGAAAGCCAGCGGCGGTGAATGGGCGTGGGGGCAGCACATTCCTCGGATCCATGCAAACGATCCAGCAGCTGTATAGATCTATCGCTGGCTGTTTAAAATGACACCAAGAACACGGCTGCAGCAGTGTATTTACGTGTAGCGAGCTGGAAGTGGTTAAAGTGTATTTCCATTTTTGCAATAAAAATTTAGAAAACCTCCATTATATGTTTGTGTTCCTAGTCATACAGCATATCTAAAATTATTTTTTTTAAATATTTCTCACCTTTTTTAGATGTTTGAATTGCAAGCTTTGCTAGCTTCTCTCTGTTTTAGTAAACAGAAACTCTATCTGTCCTAATAGAATTAAGACAGATTCAGCTTCAACTCATTAACATACTATGGGGGGGAATTTATCATAGCAATTGCGAGTGTTTGAACTTGCACGGAATATATTTGCACCAGATTTATGATGCTAATGTAATGTTGTTCATAAATGAGGTTAAATAGACTCCAGGAAATAAGACTCGTAACTCCAGGCAAAAAGCATAACTGACGCTTCTTGAAGAAGTAGTCATGGGGACATCTTAAGTTTTCAGCGCAGTATGGACAGGGTTAATTATCTAAAACAAAACTCCACCCAACCCCCCAGGGGGTAAAGGTGCCCATGCACCTTGCAAATATCGTTCGATTTCTGAGCGAGAGCAGGTTTTCGTATGATCGAGCAGTTGATGGGAAGTGAACGATCATAATTACTGTACAACTGTCCGAATTTCCTCGATCGGTCGGGCTGTAAAACCTTTTTTTTTAATTGTACAAAAGTGCTTTTGTACGGAAAAATTCGCAACATTTTTCGCACTCAGGGCACTACTTAACATATATCAACCTTTAGCACACTTTAGTTTAACTTGTGTCTAACTAAGCAGGATTTTTCAGTCCTGGAGTTGGCAGAAAGAGTATTTATTTAAAAAAAAAAAGGTAAGTTCCGTTTTTTATTTTTAAGTTATGCTATGCGCTTGGGAACACATAACAAATACAAAGTAGGAGTTATCCCAATTTGGCTTCAACAATGGAAATACACTTTAAGCAAATATTTGTTTCTGTCTCTATTGCAAACTTTCTTACCCTGGGATCCTGCCAGTAATGGCACTTCTGTTGCAGAATAACAATACAATACTGCTGCCTTTCAAATAGTAGCAGTGTTGCCAGCCTGCTGTGCATGCTGTTTCAGTAGGCCATTTTGCCACCTACCAGGTTTGCAGCCCAATGGCTAACTGAAGGAGTATGCACATCAGGCTGCTGCTGCTAATTGAGAGGAAGCAACTAAGCAGTGTCAGCCTGCAACAGGAAGTGTTGTTACGGGCAGGATCCTCAAGTAGGAGACTTTGCAACAGTTTTATGAAAATTATTTTCTTAAGAAAACTTTATAGAGGGAGACATAAAGCCAAACCTACTGGAAAATAGATTCTTCTATTCTAGATCTTTTACACATCTCTTTTTACACACTTTTTTTTTATATTGATGAGAACTTTTTTTATTTTAATTAAACCAAATTGAAGAGTGGTATTTTTTTGGAAAGTTGATATGTAAATTTTGGTAAAATTTTACATAGAGGCCTTCTTTAATGTTAATTCCATGAGAATTTTTTGGGATTTTTTTAGTCATTTCTCATTTATGACGTGGTCTGCTGTGTGTCATTCTTCATTTGGCAACTGTGTTCCAAAAGAAGGCTTTTAAAAAAACAAAACAAAAAAACATTTCAAGGGCCATTTTTTAGTTTTGGATAGAGAGACTTGATAAGGGTAAGACATTCTGCAAAGGAATAGTTCCTGTACCAGAGACGCAACAGAAAATTCATTTAAAAAAAATCTCATCTTTAAAGGAGAACTATGAGGTGAGTGCTTTTCACTCATCCTCATAGTTCTAGCCGACCTGTGACAATGAGACTGTCACAGGTCGGCTCAGTAGATCGGGCCCTCTGCCGTGACAGGGGAGGGGTTGGATTCCCCCCTCCAATCCTCCAGTGCTGACTGGTGGAATGGACGTGGGAGGGAGCGGGTACAGCTGGCTCTGCCTATCTAGAGGCACGCAGCTGGGCGGATCCAGACATAATTGTCGGGATCCGCTGCGGCGTCTCAGTATACCGCGAGTTGTAGCTCGCAGTATACTGAGCTTAGGGTGACGGGAGGACGCTAAATTGTGTCCTCCCTTTACCCTAAGGAGAACTATGGGGAAAAGCCCGAACCCCATAGTTCTCCTTTAAGTATTGACCCCAGAGCACGCATTCCCAGTGGAAGCATTCTTCTGTCTCATAAAATGGGAACCATTCATTTCTGTCTCCCGAACAACTCCCATTTGGAGAAAAAGTGGTGGGAAATCTCCCCAATGGGGGCACATACAACAATAAAAATCTGGCAGGAGTTCTAACCCTTTTTAACTCTTTCCAAAACACACAAAATAGTCTTGGATGCAGTTCACGTTTATTTTTAGAACATAACCTTGGACACAAACCTATGAAGTAATGTTTTTGTATTAATAGAGCCATGATCATGCTTCTGTCCAAAAAAAAATGTCTACACTGGTTTGTTTTGGGTTTTTTTCTTATTAACTTACACAATTTATATTTTCTTCCTAGGATTCAAAAATGGAAACTGATAAGGAAGAAAAGAAAGGTAGCTTATGTTTCTTCTGTCTGTCTAGTACTGTATTGAAGAAACGGTACACACTTATCTATATTGGTGTTTGGTAGATGCTGGAGTGGTATACATCTGATGCAACTTTCTTAATGAGATCTCTGTATTTGAGTTCCTAGTAGGGATGAGTTTTCAGTTCGCACCAACCATAGTTTTAAATTATTTTGCACATTTGCTGAAACCGTTGTCATCCAAACCTCTGCAGAATTGCCCATCCATATTCTTGAGTCTGCACACCTGCTATGGCTATTTTTAGGTGTTCCTTGTCGAATTGTATTATACTATAGAAAATAAAGTGGGGGTGGGGGGGGGGGGGGGGTCTGGAATATGCAAAAGTGGAAAGGGACATCAAAACCTCTAGATGTACAGGAAAGGAACAGGGAATTGTGACAGGGGAGATATCACTGTTTTGAGTATCCAAGAAGCCAGAGAGGCAGCCCACCAAGATCTCCCTATTAAATCTAAACTATCAGGTTTCAGTGGCCTGACCTTTAATTGGCTATTTTGTTATCACTTTTGGTTGGTTTTGCACATATTTTACTATTAAAATATGCTAGGTTTTTGGGTGATCCCCCCCCACAAATGCTGCAAGTTAGACGCATGGCATGAGACCCAAGACAAATAAGGAGCCAGGGGTTGGCTTCCTCCACCAGGCTCCATCCACAAAAATAATGCATTTGCTTGGACTGCAAATATATTGTTTGCATTGATGACTTTGGGGTTTTTTTGGGGTTTTTTTTGCTTTACACAGCTCCTAAATGTGGATTCTTGAAGGAAAATGAGAAGATTCATAAAATCCTGAACGTTGTCCTACCTGAGATAAGGAAACTGCGTGAGGGATGTGCGCTGGTAAGGCTATGACAGAAGTCAGTAACCTGAGAAAAGTGAATGTAAATGACAAAAACTTGATATTGGCAATTTTTCTTGTAGGTTATCACCTGGATCCATCATGCCATTCCAAAAATTGAGGATGGAAATGACTTTGGAGTTTCAGTACAGGTACACAAACTTATTTATATTATTGTGGGTTTTTTTATTATGGCACTAAACCGTGAAATAGCAATGGCATATAGATAAAAAGTGTTATGCAACAATTTATAAAACAGATGCTTTTTTTGAACATCTACTAATACCTGTTTTTTGTGTTTTTTTTAACAAACCACCTTCTTACACTGTATTCCTATCTTTTACATACCTAAGGAAAAAGTCTTAGAACGTGTTACAGCCATAAAAACTAAAGTAGAAACATCTCAGACCAACATCAACAAGTAAGTATATTTGCCTTAAAATGAAAAGCTCATTTCATATTCTGTGCCCGATATACGATCTCCCTCCGCTCTCCTCCAAGGTCTCTGAATGCAGGAAGTGATGTTTACTACATCACTTCCGCATTCCTCTGTCACTCTCCGGTACAGAAACTGTAGAGAAGCTGATGAAGCAGATCTGTGCTTCTCTGGGGGTCTTAGGGACCTCTGATGTCTCCATAAAGGGGATCTGTCACTGTAATTTGATATCACATAGGGAAATTCTTATCCCCCTATGTGATAACAATAGTGTTAAGTGTAAAAAAAAAAAAAATTGGTCACAAAATTAAATATATTTTACACACACAAAAAAACCCCACAAAAGTTTTTTGGGGTATGGTAGTTTTTTGCTATTTTGCGCGCGCACAATTTTAAGGCTTTACATGTTTGGTGTCTATTTACCCGATGTGACCCCGTCTTTTATATTTTACCAACAAATTGGGTAATAATACATGTTTCCTAACATAATAAAGGGAAAACATTTTTTTTTTGTTTGTTTTTTTAATTCTGTACTTTTTTCATTATTTAGTAAAAAAATAGAAACCCCAGTGGTGATTAAATACAACCAAAAGAATGGTCTAAAATTAATTTCAGTACAGCGCTGCATGACGGAATAAATGTCAGGCAAAGTACTGCAGCGCTGAATACTGAAAAATGGCATGGACAGGAAGGTGGTGTAAACACCGCGGTCAGCAAGTGGTTAATATGACATACGTAGCAAATTATACCTGTTCCATGATTCATCTATTAGTGTAATATACATGAAAGACTGAAACCTGTCCGCTTTTTTACCCTTTTAGGTATCTCACAGAACGTGGAGATGCTGTTGCTAAAGCTTCAAAGGAAACCCACGTGGTGAGACTGTTTATCTCAGACATTGCTTTTCTGTCTTTCTATATTCTACATCATTCTTTCTGTCACTCATTATTATTTTCATCTCCTGTCTTATTTTTCTGCCTCCCACAAAATCCAGATGGACTACAGAGCCCTGGTTCATGACAAAGATGAAGGTGCCTTTGTAGAGCTAAGAGTAGCTCTCATGGAAGTGAGAAATATCTATGTGAGTTTTATACATTTTCTTTTATTTATTATTACACATTTATCAAATTGTCTTTTGTTATCCTTCACAAACAACTAGATTCTGTATTCTGTTCAAGCATACTGTACCAGTAGATAAAAAGGAAAAGCTGTTTGGTTGCTATAGGCAACAAGAATAGTTTGTCCTTTTGAACACTTTACTAATAAAAAAGGAGCATTGTATTGTGCTAGCAGGTTAAGGGGCATGGAAGCGTTTTAAAGGATCATTTTAAAGTGTATGCCAGTGGAAAATATAAAAAAAATGCAGTACATCTCTGAGATACATGCACATTTCCCTTATGTTTTATGTCATGAAAGACCCTGCACATGCAGAAAAATATCTGTTGATTTTGCCATAAATGCACTCAGCTCCTAAATCCTTTTGTGGCTGAAAATGCACAGCATGTGCATTGGATCAGCTTTTCCCAGTTGTCTTTTGCTAAATTACTCAAACCTTCCCCTGTCCTGTTCTCTGCAACGTGGACAATAATTTTCTGTAGTCCAAGATATGAACTGGGAGGGCTAATTACTTCTTGAGACAACTGAAGTGGGACACAGGGCAGCTATTACTGACATGATCAACAGGTATTTCTGCACTTCTCAAACAGATATAACAAAAATGGAGAAATTCATTGTTGGTGTACACATACACTTCAACCACTGGGATGTAAGTTCAGGGTGAATATCTAGGCAATGAATAAAGACCTAGTTAAAGTAAGGCTGTCAAAAAGCTTAAAACATAACTGAGCATGGAAAATGCTGAGCATGGAAAAACTGAGATGGAAAATGCATAATCTGAGATCATCTTCAGTGAAAACTGCACGTCAAAACATGCAGGTAGAACCTAATGTTATATGATCTTTAATTTATATGCAATTTTCTACTTTTTTCAAAAATCAAGCTTTTACCACCCCTTCCAAACGTATTGGACAGCCTCCTGACCAAAAAGATTATTTGTGAGATGGGAGGGACAGGCTAAACTTAATATTTACAGGAAAAGCTGTATCAGCGGATCCATAGATATAGGAAGCTGATGACGTATGCTTATGTATTTTTATTAAGTCAGAATTGACCATGTTTGTGACTGTTCTGCCTTAAGGAGATAAATTGGTGCATGGATTAAGAACCTTAACATGAAGTTCTCTTCAACAATTAGGTATTTTTCCCACTGCCTGCTTCCTATATTAAAAAGAAGCAGGCCATGGATCACTGAGTTGTAACATGTAAGGTAATTTAAAATCTCACTGGTGGGTGATTTGCTCAACAGGCATTAAAAGGAATTAAAACTGCGCTGTCAGATACGTTTTATGGGTACACATAATAACTTACAATACATTTTAATGCTTTATGTCTCACATGGAGCGGAAACTTTAACATTTCACCATTTTAAGCCATACTACGAGGCTACGAAGTTAGCGAACAATTCAAACTTTCAGAATTGCATCTGCTTGTCACTCGCTTAAAATGACAAGTATTAACTCCTCCCCAATGAGCTCATATCATCAAAGTTAGTTTTAGCCTGCTCAAATCTTACATCAACCATGGTGGCACTAGAAGTGTCAGAATCTCCACCATTTTAATGGGTGCACCACTACAGCCCATGGGAACTGTTAGCTAAAATTTAGTGTCAATATGTCAGAGCAAAAATATTAAAGGTACAGCACATTGATCACTGATATGGATAGCTACAGATTACATAAAATGTCATTGCTTTTCCCTTCTAAAGTTGAATATTCAACCATTCTGGGTTAATTTTATGTCCTGTGTAACACATAGGTATGTGCAGTTTCTAAACCTTTATTCTGAGGAAATAAAGCAAATCTATTTTTCTGTTTTCAGGTTGAAATATTTGATATTATTTTCAAAAACTTTGAGAAAATCACAAACCCTAAAGGAGAAGAGAAAAGCCCAATGTATTGACTTTATTCCAAGAAGCCTCCTATGTACTACATCCTTCCAGACTACTCTTTTAAAATTCTGTCATCAGGTTTCTTACTTGTACACTGAAAGCAAATAGAATAAAGAAAGCTTCAGAAGACTGTGATATGGGCTTTTACTTTGTAATATGATTATTTCATCATATGTTGTATTGGATGACTTTAGTTTAGGCCTACCTAACCACTCCATTTAATTTAGAGGTAATTCGTAAAGGTTTTGTACATCTTTTCTTTAATATGATCAAGACCAGAAATAATAACATTTAAAATACATATATACACCAATCGGCCATAACAAGATGACCACCCGCCTAATATTGAGCATGTCCCTCTGAGGCATGAATTTCACTAGACCTCTGAAGGTATGCTGTGGTATCAGTAGCAGATCCTTTAAGTCCTGTAAGTTGCGAGGAGAGGCCTCCTTGGATCGGACATGTTTCTTTTCAGCACATCCCACAGATGCTCAATTGGATTGAGATCTGGAGAATTTGGAGGCCAAGTCAACACCTCAAACTTGTGTTCCTTAAACCATTCTTGAACGATTTTTTCAGTGTAACAGGGTGCATTATCGTGTTGAAAGAGGCCACTGCCATAAGGGAATATCGTTTCCATGAAAGGGTGTACTTGGTCAGCAACAATGTTTAAGTAGGTGTACGTTTCAAAATAGCTTCCACATGAATGACAGGATCCAAGGTTTTCCGGGGGAACATTGCCCAAAGCATCATACTGCCTCTGCAGGCTCTACTTGCCTTTTTCCCATACTGCATCCTGGTTCCATCTCTTCCCACAGGCAAGTGACACACATGCACCTGGCGATCCAGAGGATGTCAAAGAAAATACGATTCATCAGTCCAGGCCACCTTTTATTGCTCCATGGTCTAGTTCTGATCCTCACATGCCCATTGTAAGTGCTTTTGGGAGTGGACATGGGTCAGCATAGGCACCCTGATTGGTCTGCAGCTATGCAGCCCCATATGCAACAAATGGCAATGCACTGTGTGTTCAGACATCTTTCTATCCGAACCAGCATTACCTTTTTCAGGAATTTTAGCTATAGTACCTCTTCTATTAGGCCAGCCTTCATTCCCCACGTGCATCAATGAGCCTTGGCTGTCCATGACCCTGTTGCCGGTTCTTTGGTTTTCCTTCCTTGGACCACTTTTGGTATGACCTGACCACTGCAGACCGGGAACATCCCACAAGAGCTGCAGTTTTGGAGTGCTTTTCTGTGCGCTAGGTGTGTTGCATTTTAACGTACTTTCAAGCCTTATTCAGATTAAACAGAAATAATACTGTTAACTGGTGAATGTGCTGTCCATGACAAGAGGAAGCATCCTAGCTAGGGTCCACTGGTGAAAGTGACCTTGGAAGTGTGTGGAAGGGAACCTTGATATGTGGATCAAAGCATCTCTTTTAATTCTGTATTAGTTTGGTAAATGTGAGAGGTTATCCCCCTGCCCAGTGTGCCTAAATAGTAATCCACCTGTTACAATGATAACACCAAATACCAACTAACTAGTAGTCACATACAGCAGTACTCTAGCCTAGATGATCTCATAGTGCAGAAACACAGCTATTAAGCCAAAGGCACAGGAAGAGCACTGCTATTTTTTTCAGGAGAAATTCAAGACAAAAGGTAGATATTTTAGGGCGCTGCTTAGGCACAATTACCATTCCTTTAACATATCAAATCTTAACTTTTTAAGTCCACGTCCATTTTAAAACAAATATTATGTACTCCACAGCACTGTATTCCATGCATCGTTGATGACCAACTGAAACAGTCTGTTGGTCTCAAATTGCAGGTTGAGATAAATGGCTGTGCAGATTAATTTCTAAAAGCACGGTTGGTCTTGGCTCTGCCCACTATTAAGCATTAAACCTTTCTCAAAGTTCTTAAAGTTCTATGAATAATTAACTATTCTAATGCAACTGTGGTGGACCACCTATCGCAATGTCCACATCTCACCCTCTAAACCTTAGTAAGATGTGGCTTTCTGTTACCTTACTCCTGTCATTGCTTTGCTATAGTGTATACAAGATTTTATAGCCACTTTTAACTGTTCAAAATAACCCTTTCACACTGCCAAGTTGTACACTAGCACCCAAGCATGCCTGGTTCACACCTAAGCATTTTTACACGCTGATCTAATCTTGCAAAAACGTGCAAAACACAGATTTCCATGCAAGTCAATGGCGACTGTTCACACCTTAGTGTTGCTTCGTGTGTAGGAAAACACCTGTCCCGCAAAAAGATGCAGGAGCTATTTTCAGGTGGAGGTCACGGTTTTGGTCCCAATAGATATATTTATGCAGGGAGAAACGCACATCTTTAATTGCAAACACATGCAAAAGCATGCAGGAACAAAGTACAAAACTGAAAATGTCTGGGTGTGAACCTGACCTTAAATGATGCCTGAAACAGCCACCAGCAGAGTTCCAGTTCACCCTCAGAAATCAATAATTCAGTGGGCAGATTCAAGCCTAGGTTTAACACTGTAAAAGTGCCCCCTACCATTCAGAGCTGTACATTAAATCTTAGACATCCCACATTCAGACTACTGTTGAAAACCTGACACATGCTTTCCTTTTCATCCATAAAATTGTAAACTCCAACACTCTCATTATCCATAGTGGGTGCTAAATGTCGTAGGCCAACCCTTAAATTACCGTATGACACTTACAAACTTCCAGCTACTTAAATTACTATAAATAACGCTTAGTGCTCCAATGCACCCAACATTCAGCATGGGCAGAAATGCCATGTATCATAGAATATGTAAAATATCACTGCCTTCCCTGCTGTTACCCTATTAAGGGCCTAACTATAGGCAAAGCAGCTACTAAGGAAGGAGGTCCAGTTGACATTTGCACAATTCTTGTAAAACAATTTACCCCCCTGCGTTTTTCTGAGTAAAAGAAAAAAAAAAGGCCTGGATTGCTGCCTTTTAAATGCATGGACTACCTGTGCATTGATTCAACCACCTGTGCCAGTATAGTTCTGGGTGACCACTGATGAGAAGCAGTGAGCAGCCATAGGAGTGCAAAGAAGAAAGTCAGTATGGACTTTTGGTAAAACCATTTATTCAAGAAGCTTTGCCAGGCAGGCAAGGGCATGATGTGACTGATATACATTTTTAGGGCGTCACTGACCACCAGCGTTGAAAGCTATTAGGGGTTCTGCATAGGATACTAGTCATCAATGTTCAAATGAGCTCAAATCGTTGGGGTATTTGAGGACCATGGTACAGAGCGCAGTCTCTGCAAGGTCGACAAGTTTGGAATCTCATCAAAATTTTACTATGGGTTCCTGTAATATGTAATTATGCCCCAGCTCCCTATGACTCTGTTACAAACTTCCTGACATCTACATTAGCTAAAGTCCCTCCAACAGCTCACATGAACAAAAATTTCACTTAAAGGAGAACTATGAGGTAAGTGCTTTTCACTCACCTCATAGTTCTAGCCGACCTGTGACAATGTTACTGTCACACGTCGGCTCAGTAGATCGGGAGGTGAGCGAAAACATCCCGGCGCTCGCTCACCTCTCGATCCTGTCACGGCTCTCTGCCGTGACAGGGGAGGGGCTGGATTCCCCCCTCCCCGCTCCGATCCGCCAGCGCTGACTGGCGGAACGGACGGGGGAGGGGGTGGGTACAGCTGGCTCTGCCTCTAGATAGGCAGAGCCAGCTGTCAATCATGCAGCTGGGTGGATCACGGCATAATTGTCGGGATCCGCTTCAGCTGCGGCATCTCCGTATACCGCGAGCAGCAGCTCACGGTATAATGTAGCGCCTCGGTATACCGCGAGCTACAGCTCGCGGTATACTGAGCCTAGGGTGACGGGAGGACGCTAGTTTGTGTCCTCCTGTTACCCTAAGGAGAACTATGAGGAAAAGCCTTAACCCCATAGTTCTCCTTTAACTACGCATAGAAAAAAGGAAATTGTCCAAAATAAGCAGCGCTTTAAAAAGATGTAAAACAACTTCTTCATATGAAGATGGCAAACAAGAGCTATACAATTTGCCTGTGTATCTCTGCACAGCAATCAATCTGTGTGTAGCCAACTGGAAACATTGTAATCTTTCCTCCATTCTCATGATAATTTGTATCAAGTGGTCCCATATTATGTTTAACTACTTCCCCAGACTTGGTTTCCGATCTTATTCACAATAACTGGTGCAGATTACTCCAGATTACTCATACAAGCGGTTAATACAAGAGCTGTCACCCGCTTTTAACAAATGGGAAAACACATCTTAACTCACAGTCCACCTTCTGAGGCGATCATAAATCCATCCAGCGGTGATTAATACACATGTTATCACCACTTAAAAACTTTGGAAGATATGACTTTACTCAGTCTGCCCTGCAAGGCAATCATAAGTACACAAACATGATGACAAGTTAATTTGCTGGTAACTTTCCGGGATAAATTGTTTCTCTTCCGGGCGTCAGGGAGCTGCTATCTTATAGCGGGAGACTCCTGGAACCTCGGGGAGAGTTGGGATGTCTGAGTTTGGGGATGGCCCCTTCCTGTTCCAACATGACTGCGCACCAGTGCACAAAGCAAGGTCCATAAAGACATGGATGAGCGAGTTTGTGCTGGAGGAACTTGACTGGCCTGCACAGAGTCCTGACCTCAAACCGATAGAGCACCTTTGGGATGAATTAGAGCAGAGACTGCAAGCCCGGCCTTCTCGTCCAACATCGTCCAACATCAGTACCTGACAAACTCCTACACCTTGTGGACAGTCTTCCCAGAAGAGTTGGAGCTGTTATAGCTGCAAAGGGTGGGCCAACTCAATATTGAACCCTATGGACTGAGGGCTTGTTCACACGATTTTCTGGTCCAGATCTGGTCCAGATCTGGAGACGCGATGCGATGCATGCAGTGCGTTTTGACGCGTTTTTGATGTGTTGCAGTTAAAAAAAAAATGTTTTTGGTTGCATTGGGACTGTCAGTATGTTAGCTGCAGTGCGTTTTCGTTGCGTTTTTGACGCGTTCGTGCATTTCCGAACCGTACAAAATGTGACATGCAGTATTTTTTCTGTCCGGAACAGACTGCGCTCGTGAGAACTGTAGCCCATAAAACACATAGGGATACATTGGGATGCA